CTTTAGGTGCCAATTGGCATATCAAATGGCAATTGGCACCCGCCATCTATGGCTTATGGTTGTGCACAGACAGTTTAGTGTAGGCATTCTACAGTCTCGAGAGACTATGGTAACTTGCTCTGTATGGAGGACTTGGAACAGTGTCTAGTGTGGCTGAGTAGGCCAATTTAAGAGTGACAATCCCTTCCACGCTGAAGACAAATACAATCTGTCCCTTGTTCATCTCTGCGATTTTGCTGGTTTTGGGACTGCCTCTTTGCCTCGGCCTGCTGGACAAGGGTCTCTTCAAATAGGGAAAGCCATGCTGCAGGCCTCCAGGCTGAACGCTCAGATGTCAAGGTTTCCCATCTGTTGAGGTCTATTCCTAAGGCCTTCAGATCTCGCTTGCAGATATCCTTGTATCGCAGCTGTGGTCTCCCTCGGGGGCGGCTTCCCTTCACTAATTCTCCATACAGGAGATCTTTTGGAATCAGACCGTCAGCCATTCTCACGACAATTTAGAGCTGCTTTAATTCATCAAGGCTCCACAGGGCTCCTGGACAACTCCTTCACCTGAACCTTTTGGCTTTGCCTGAGGTCTAGTTAATTAACTACCATCCGATAGCACAGCTGACACACGTAGTCCTGCTACTCACCAAAGTTGGAAGCCTATCTCTCTGCAATGGTGGCCTGAACAGTTATGGAGGACACTTGGCCCTCCATATGTTTTAGATTACAGATGCACAATCCTTTACCATTGACTAAGGTGGCAAGGTCCAAACATCTAAGGGGGTGGAAATACCCTGGTTCTGGCCTAAAATATACGGGACTCTAAAGGCCAAACAAGTATGCTGTATTGTGCCAGCTTTAGATCGTTGCTAAATATATGTACAAATATTTGTGGCAGTAGTGATTTTCACTGAAATCAACTGTAGGTTTGTTACAATGGAACAAAAATCACCCACTTGCCACATCCAGTTTCCAAGTACTGTAGCTGAGTTTCAACCAGCCACCCACACAGTGGGTGGGGAAAATGCCATGCGATTAGATAATATAAGGGGAAGGCAGAGAAGATATACAGAATCATTTGTTAGCTTGTTATTCAAAATACTGTATTTTTACCCCACCTGTCTCCTTAAAAAAGGACCTGAGGCAGATCACATCAGTAGAAGACAATTAGAAAGTCTTGAAGCTGTAGAAATACAAACTGAATGTATGTCTGAGTGGAGTGTGGCTGATGTCAATCACTGCTTAATTTAAGTGAACATGTCCTCATTTTAAAACCCTCAGGTGTTGTTGGACTGCAGTTCCCATCATCCCCTGTAACTGGCTTTGATGGCTAGGGCTGATGGGGACTTCAGTCCAGAAACATCTGCAGAACCACTTTCTGAGGTGATACTACAGATGTTGCACAAGTATGTAGCCATGAAGTGGACCAGCCCTCCCCAGTATGATGGCCCTCCCTTTTGGGGGAAGTCTGCCTGTTGTTACACATCTCCTGTTACATGCCAGGAAATACTGAAGTAAGTAGAACCCTTGTTTTTTAACCTTGGTTTTAATCTCTTTTTAAAAGATTTTAAAAAATCTGTTTCATTGTATATCTCTGTTCTGGTGGACAAAAAGGCTGTTCCCCCCCCCCCAAATTAAACATGTTTAATAACTACATACATGTTTTTAATCAGCTGCCTTGGCTATTACTTTTAGGCTAGAAGAGAAGAAAAGGTGGTTTAATTGTGTGTCATGTCTTCGGTACTTGGGCATCCATGTCTTCTTCACTTCCAACGGTTGCCTCCAGCTTACCAAGAAGGTTTCTTTCGGGGTGTGATTTCACACCAGTATGAATTCAGAAAGTAGTGTGGGAACTCCTGATTTTCACCCTAATGTTCTTATGCACACGTTCATTCACACTTTCTTTTTCTTTGCATGTGTTACACACAGGTCTGCCTCCTTTGACATCACAAAGTCAAATGCTCCGGTCTGAGGTTTTGACCCTGATATTTCAGGGAATTTAATGGGCTGGCCATCCTGCCAGTGACTCAGACTCATCTACCTCAGAAGATTATTGGGAGCATAAACTCGTGGAAGGATAAATCATGCAGGCTAGCTTGAGTTTTTAGGATGAAAGGCAGGAGATAAATAACATAAACAAATCTGAGACACCAGAATCTGGTATGGTTTCAGGCTGAGGAATTACTTCCTCTTATACCAAAAGAATTGTTCCTCTTTCCTTGCTTTTTGTAAACTCTTCCCTTTTTAATATGGCTTTTGGGATTTCCTGTTAGAGTGGTGTTTTTAACTAGCTATTGCTGTTTTTTTGTTTTGTTTTTGCTATATTTTTCATTATTACGTTTTAAATACTCCCCCCTCTACTGTTGTACAAGGCACATTGACTACTATGGGGGGAAAAGTTTTTTTAAATGAATAAATTATTCTTAGTGTATGTAAACTGCTGGCAATGCAATTGTACATATGTATGTTTATTCAGTGACTCCCATTGTTATTTAGTGGAGCTTATTTTCCTCTAAGTGTATTAGACATATACAGGAGTGCACCTCTCATATTGTGTGGCCAGTCAAAATCAGCTTTCTATAAGCCATTACATTTAGAAATAAGCATTTCATACACAGTAAAACTAAATATTATTTTTATTGATTTATTTATCTTTTATTATGTTTTGGATGCTTGTTTCTAAATGTTTATAGCTTATTTTAAATGTTATAAACCATTTGAAGTTCTATTATGAGACAGTGAAAACAATTACATAATGTCTAGGGAGGGGGCCAGTCCCAACAAAGAGCAATAACTTTTGGTTAGGTTATGGAATCAAGGCAGTCCTGGGTCCTAACTAGACCCGTATCACTCCCAAAGCCCTGCTGCCTATTCAGATCTGGAAGCGTCTGCAGGGAGTCCAAAAAATCCACATGGCTAGACAATCGGCCCATGCGCCAGCCTTGCAAGGGAGCTGCCACCACATCCACACAAACGCGAAAGCTTTCCTGTAGCTGGTTGAGGCAAGACCTGAATTTAGTACCACAAACCCTCTCAATCATAATCCAAGCAGCTGCTTGAAAAGAGGTTCGTATTTTACTAAAAGGGGGGGGGGGAAGAGGAGGAAAAACGACATGTTATAAAAAGGCTGCAAAACATACTTGAAGCAGAACACAGACAGTCTCAGGCCAAATGTTCACACCAGAAAACAACAAAGGCCAAACTTATCTACCTGATACTCACGCCTTAACGGAGAAGTAGCATAGTTCTGGGACATGCACAGAGTGCATCCTTCGTAAAGCAAAAAACAGACAGCAATGAGCAAAGCACTTTCCCTTTAGAGATCGACTAGGCTCCTTCAAGCATCAAAAGATGACCCGGTCAGGCTAGACTGACTAACCAGTTTTCCTAATCCCTTTACTGTATATTAAATGAGCTATTCCAGACCTGTTGTGATCTTATTTATTTATTTATTTACAATATTTTTTAGCCGCACCATTGCCAGTGGCTTCTGGGCGGCGTACAACAATATTAAAAACATTTAAAAAGATAATATAAAATAGCATATATTAAAACAATTTCTTAAAATATTAATAAGTCCTGCCGGCTAGGGAATACTGTTTAATTAAAATGCTGGCTAAACGGAAAGGTCTTTGCCTGGCGCCGAAAAGCCAAGAGTGTTGGAGCCAGGCGGATCTCTATAGGGAGGGCATTCCAAAGTTGGGGGGCAACAGCCGGGAAGGCCCTATTTCGACATGCCATCCCCCTCACCTCTTTCAGGGATGGCACCTTCAGAAGGGCCTCCTGGCCTGATCTTAGAGGATGGGCAGGCTCATATGGAAGAAGGAAGTCTTCTTTCATGTTTACCCAGAACAAAAGCACTGTCTTCCCTGTTCTTTTCTCACAGCTGTAATTTGCATGACTCCCAGGAAGGAAGCTGGTCTGGTTCTGGACGCCAGGAGATAAGGTGGAAGTGTCAGACACCTTCTGGTGCTGTTTTGAAGTGCCCCTAGGCAGGAAACCAATTGAAAGTGTCACTTTCCCCTTTGTTCTGGGCCGATACTGACCCTTGTTTTCTTGGAGAGCTTCTCAGGCACTCACAAAAAGCCCTGAAGTTTCCAGATTCTATGTTCCATGCTCCCCTAATTTCTCAGTTCCTTCACATCAGCCTGGTGCAGCACAGCATACCGCCCCATCTGCAACAGTGCAGTGATTTGCTTTCGTATGTAGCTTCCTGTTCTAGGTACGTGCCATCCTATTGCTTACGAGTGAGAGCAAACCAATGAACTAACAACTTCCAAAAGCTCCTGTCATTAGCCACCCTGCTCAAATCATGCAAACCTAGAGCTTCCTTTGCTGAGTTAATCCATCTCATGTAAAGTCTTCCCTTTCTCCTGCTGCCTAGCACTCTTCCTCGCAGTCTCGTCTTTTCCAGTAAGTCTTGTCTTCTCATAGTTGTAGTTTTGGAAGAAGTAGCCGTGTTGGTCTGTGCAAATGTATCAGGCAAAAATCCAAAGAAACAACCACAACAAAACAAAGACAAAATTTAAAAACATTTTATATTTTGATATGAGCTTTTGTGGACACGCCTACAAAAGCTCACATTTAAAATATAATACTTAGTCTTTAAGGTGCCACATGTTTTTTTCTCTCTCTCTCTCTCTTTTATTTGTCTTTTTTTTTGTTTTGTCTTGTTTCTATGGATTTCTCCTCGTCCATCGAAAGGCCATGTGTATAAGAAGCCCTCGGCCAGCGAAACCGCTCGACCACCAGGGGGCACCAAAGGCCTTCTTTCTTGGGCGGTTCCTTTTCCCGCCTTCCGGCCGGCCGTTAAGCGCTTCGGAGACGCGGCCGATCGTGGCTGCCCTCGCGCGGTCGTTTTTTCTCGCGAGAAGACCGTCTCTCCGCCCGCCAACATGGCGGCTCTCCGGTTGCTGGGCCGGAGGTTCGCGGCTGTACTACCTCCGAGGGCGTTTTATGCCCCCAGGTGAGTGTCAACCCCGAGGGCGCAGGGTGAGGATCGGGGGTTCGCAGAAGTGAAATAAATCCCCCTTTTTAAAATAACCCTCTTGCTCCTGGGGGTTTGCTTGGCCGGGGAACGGATGATGCCTCCCGGAGCAAGGCTGCTGCCTGACCTGCCCTCGCAAGGGTGGGTGTGAATCCTAACAGGTGAGGGGAAAGAGAAACCGCCTTTTCATGCCGCCTGGACCTGGATGGAGAAGGGGCGGAAAGCAAAATGTAAAGGGTCCTGGCATCCCATCATGTTTTGGACAGAACCGTTGCCAGCCTCCCTCAAGACTGGGTACATTATTTGGGATGATGTCGTGAGTCGATTGTGGGGCAGTTTGGCCGGGGAATAAAATCTGAATTACATGGGAATGTCTCTCACACACGTAAACCATGTGATCACGGCAGGGCTGCCATCATCATCTGGAATTTAGACGGTGTTCGTTTAAAAATAGCATTGTCCAGTATTTACCATTAGCGGGCAAAGCCGAAAGAAAAGAATTAAGAACAAAAAAACTTTGTGGCGCTTTAAAGACTAGCTGTTGCGTATTTGAGCGTAAGCTTTTGTGGAACTTCACCCACTTCTTCAGATATTGTAGAATATTTGGCTTGACTTGTTGGCTAAAAGGCAAAGGAACATTCCTTACTCTCTTGCACGGTACCCCCCAAAAAATATAGTTTTAGCCCACGCAGTTGTAGAGAACTGAGCCATGTAGGTCCTTTCTGTTGAGTCAGACCTTTGTTCCATCTAGCCCAAGGTTGTCACCTCTGACAGCAACTGTCCTGAGTCTCAGGCAGGATTTGCTCCTATAGCCCTGACTAGTTTTCCTTGTTAGTCTCACATCCATAGAAACCAGACCTGAAAAATCTGGTGAGATTTGGATGTGTGCAGAGTGGTTTGAAGATGAACAACCACAGGTAAGTAGCATTCTTAGTCCACTGAATACAAGCAGCCCTTATTGCAGTGGTTCCTAACCTTGGGTCCCCAGATGTTCTTGAACTACAACTCTCAGAAGTCCTACCCAGTCCAAGGACACCTGAGGACCCATTGCCTTCACGGTTTATTTTGCAGCAGATTGGGGGGAGGGGGTTCTGCCCAGATAGGTTATCTTCCATAGAGGAAGATAACCTGTTTTCCTTCTTCAGCAAACCTCTGGGTTTGCCTGAGGGATGCTACCACCTCCCTCTTATTTTCCATTGTCCTTGTTTTAGCCCTGATTCTGTTGGTGCTCAGCCCCTAACTTGGTTACTATTTTTATTTATTTCATTTCATTAAGAGATTGTAACTCTCGAATTGGCCTCCTCAGCCACACTAGACGCTGTTCCAAGTCCTCCATACAGAGCACGCTACCATAGTCTTTCGAGACTGAAGGATGCCTACACACATACCCCACTTATCTGGAAGGAGTGATGGCAGTTCTTCCAGATTAAGATACAGTCTGAGGTGGCCATCTTGGCTTTAAGTGTGACTTCATTCTAGTTGCAAATATCTTCCATGTGCTCTCAGTGACAGACAGCCAAAGCGGGGTCACCGCCTCACGCCTTCAGACGATGAGCTCTATCAACAGACAACAGTCCAGCTCTTGGAGAAAGAATCCAATCAAATCATGTTCCTGGAAACTTACAGCAGTGGCGGTTTCACCATTAGCGGGTGCAAGGTGATCGGGCCCTGCGTGATCTTTCCCCGAGCCATCCTACAGTGGAACGTGAGTGTTGAGGCATTTTACTTCTGAGCCAATATTTGACATGGCAAGGAAGGGGACCCTGTCTTTCTCTGTGGTAGCAACATCTATAATGAGTTCATGGTGCTTTCAATATGTTTTATTTGGAAGAAGCTTTCAGGGACTGGAAATGCATGTTATAGATGAAATGGGCAGCCGTAGATGAGAGTTTATGCCTGATAGAATGTATGCAAGAGACCAACATGGCTGCCCTTCTGGAAATGTTTTTAAGTCAACTTGGAGTCTAATGCCTAGGAATTGTTTTTTCCAGTCCCAAATGATAGGACTAATATAAGGAGCTGATGCTTTATTGGCAATTGTTTGGGCCACTCAATGTAGTAGATTCATCTACATAGCTTATTTTCAGCCTGGGGCCCTTGGCTCATGGCTTTGATCCTGCAATGTCAGCCCTGCATGTTATGTGGGCCACAAGGTTTCATAGGGGAATGGGTGCCAAAGGCCAAATGTGAACCTCAGGGTTGTCAGACCTTCAGATCCAAAAGCAAAGGGGTCAGATCTTCAGGCATCATGGAGCTGTGAAGATCAGATTCAGCAGCTTGTGGTCATGAAGCACATGTGGTAAACAGGCTCTTGGGGAAAACAGCAGAGAGTATCTGCTCCCTTTAGTGTAGCATTAGGCTGGGAGAAGTAGCATCTGGTGGGTTTTTCTCTGTCCAACCTATTTTAAAGAAAGCAGAGGGGTCTTGCTCTGGCTAAAGAAGATTCAGTCTTAGGCTGTAAGAGCATGGAGTGGGTTTCTCAAAATACAGAGACGATTCTCAGCCAGAATTGCTAACTGAATTCCAGCAACACCTGGAGAGCTGCATTTCCCCATGTAGTACTTTAGAGCAACCTCTTCTCAACTTGGTATCTTCCAGAGAGATTGGATTACCATCTATATATTCTTCCATCCTGGCTGGGGATAATCTGAGATATAATCAAATATATCTGGAGGGGGGCAGGTTGGAATAGGTTGCTTTATAAGGGCTTCTGGTCCATTAATCTCTGTAATTGTTGCGTCAGACACTGCAGGGTCAACAAGAGCTATTCTTTATGCAGATGACATTGACTGCACATGTGAGCTAGATCTGCAGGTAATAATGCAGATGACACTTGTAAACAATACAGTAGTACCCCCCAAATCCATAGGACATCTGTTTCAAGTTCCCCCCACGGATGCTGAAAAACGTGGATTATAACAAACACTATTTTAATAATGAAATGTATTTTTATATTGTATTCATCTTTAGAAGTATTTCTTCTAGGATGTTGCTTTTAATATTTTTAATAATTTCAGACCATGGATAAGACCTACAGTGTCTTGCCTGAGCTTCCTTTTAGCAAGCAGAGGTGAAATTGGAGAAACAAGCACTGGAGCACAACCCTCCAGTGCCAACGTTGACAGATCTCTGGAGCAGCTTAAAGGGTAGCAGCGCCACTTAGTGGTAGAGCACCAGCTTTGAATGCAGAAGGTCCACAGTCTATGTCACTGTCTATTGTTAGTGCTAATAAAAGCTCTGTCTGAGACCCAGGAGAGCTGCTGTCCGTCTGTGTTGGTAATCCTGGTCTAGATGGTTCAATAATATAATTTGTTCATTAATGATTAGTTGCATTTTTATCTTATTTTTCCTTCTGTGAACTCAAGGTGGCATACCTGGCTTCCCCTTCTCCCCACAGTTCATCTTTGTAATCCTTAATCCTGCGAGCTGGATTTGGTCACCCAAATGAATTTCCATGGCCAAGCAGGGAGGTTAACTCAGATCTCCTGAGTCATAGCTCAGCAGTCTAACACCATTGCACCACATGTGTAGTTCTGGCAAAGAATGGGGGCCAAACAACGCATCGGGTTTTTCACTGTCCTCTCCATCTATATTTTTTGGTGTCTTGCCTGAGCAGAGGAGGGGAAGAGGAGGTGGAGGGAAGTCCCCATTGAAAGAACAACAAAAGAGGGCAGCCCCCAGAGCCCATGAGAAATGTGTAGGCAAGTTAGCCTCACGGGGTTTTGAGTGAGGATTGTTGGCACCCTCTTCAGTTTTCTTGTTTGCAAATTTAGTTGCACAATAATTTAGAGCAATTTCTTCCTCTCCTGCCCTCATTCCTTCCTACTAGGTTGGCACACACATGGACATCACTGCTGAGAGCCTCACACTGTTCCGTCTGCTGGAGCCCCGAATAGGTAGGTAGGCTTTGTTGTCTTTGGAGTACCTGCCCAAAGACATGTTAACATTGTCAAGTCTCCTTCTGAGAGTGTGCGCTGGATTCTGTACCAAAACAAGATAAAAACCTTGGGCCACCAGAAACCCAGCTTCCCCAACCTACTTGCTTTTGAATTTAGATCTTACTTTACCTATGTGTTTTCAGACTTGAACCTTGCATTCCCCATCCCCCACAACCTTCAGCATGGTTCAGTATGCTGAATTTCGTATCCTGTGCCAGGTATGATAGCAGAGTACATCAGGCATGCTCGGACAAGTGTGTGGTTCTCTCACTGGGGCTTACACTTGTTCTGGGGATGCTGTATTCTTTGGGTTACCACGTGTGCTTTCTCACAACGCCTGCAGCATAGTTTCCATAGGGGCCGTTGTGGTAAACTAAAATTGTGTCTTAGTGACTCAGATGCTCTTACTGGGTAAGCCAGGACCTCCAGCATCAGAGAGATTCAGGGGCTTCTTCATCGAATCTAGCATGTCCCCTAAACCAGTGGTCCCCAACCTTGGGCCTCCAGATGTTCTTAGACTACAGCTCCCAGAAGCCTTCACCACCACCTCTGTTGGCCAGGATTTCTGGGAGTTGAAGTCCAAGAACATCTGGAGGCCCAAGGTTGGGGACCACTGCCCTAAACTCTGTGGCTGAAATTGTTGCCTAGCATAATAAGCCTCAACTAGAGTAGGTCCATAGAATCAGTGGCCATTTGGTATATCAGCTGCTCCATAAGTTCCAGTGATTCTGCAGCTGTGCTATAGTTGTAACTTACAGTGGGGTCTCGACTTACAAACGTTGACATATGAACGTTTTGACTTACGAACCGCTCTCATAGGAATATATGGACTCGACTTATGAACTTAGATTCGAGTTACGAACTCTTTTTTTCCTTTTTTAAAAAGCTAAGTCATCTTAGGTTAAAAGGAAAAAAGAAAAAATATCCCCCTCTAGTGGCAGAAGGCGGAATAGCAGCTTCCCATTAGTTTCTATGGCCGAAAAGAGCAGATACGGATTAAATGGTTTTCAATGCATTCCTATGGGAAATGCAGATTCGACTTAAGAACTTTTCGATCTGAGAACTGCCTTCCAATACGGATTAAGTTCGTAAGTTGAGACCCCACTGTACTACTTTAAGCAACAGGATTTAGCCTCTGCCACGCTGGATTGGGTCCATTATAGGTAAGCTTGCTGTGGATCAAAGAGGCCTTCCTGTGGAAAAATCCTTCTGGCGTGTTGCAGGAGACGGTCAACTTTGTCAGTTCCCCTCTTGCCCTTGCAAGTCTTTGGGACTCCCTAAATATGTTTTGGGGGCTGGGGGTGGGGGCTTTAATGAAACAATGGAAGGGCTGCTTGGAGTGCAGAGGGAGGAAGACATCAGCTGTCATTCAGAGATTGGTCGTCAGCGTTTGGAGGCTTGCATTGTTGGGGAAATGAATTTGCCATTTGAGATCCCTGACAAGATCCCTCACAGAGGAGTCGTCCTAAGGCACCCTTTGCCTTGTTTTTCTTTACTTGTATTGGTCAGCGTCTTTGCATAGTATTATCTGTGTTTGTGTGGGTATTTGGATTTGGCAGATTCTTAACATATTTTGTTGTGTTCTAGTATGACATACGCTTTGGAAGGACTTGATTTAAAACAGAAGGTTGAAAAGCCCCACCTGCTACAGAAAAGAAGAACCCTCTTCTTTTCCTCATTATTATGAGTGGTTAAGGCCTCTGGCGGCAGAGCCAGAGGTTGGGAGTTCAATTCCCAACTGGGCCTCCTTGATAGGGTCTGGACTCAATGATCCATAGGTCCGTTCCAGTCCTACAGTTCTAAGATGATGATGATTCAAAAACACAAGGCTCAGTCAATCAAAATTATAAAAACGTTGCCTGGTATTATATAACAGTTACAGGTCTAAACCAAAACCTAAATATCTGTTAAATATTAGCGCAGTATGTACCATATTTTTCCGTTTATAACACCCCCACCCCCACTTTTCTAACCCAAAAATTAACTAGAGATGCATGCTAATGGCAATTTTGGCTTCATTCATTGGTTGTTCTAGAAATCCTGGTACTGGGGACAGGAACGAAGACCGAGAGATTGGATCCTGCAGTCTTGAAGTTTATGCGCCAGTGTGGGGTTGCTGTGGAAGTCCAAGATACGGTAAGAGCCTGGGATGGAGGCAGAGAGAAAAAAGGGTGACTCATGTGATTCTTGTATACAGTTCAAAGACTGAGGTTGTCATTGTTACATGCCATCAAGTCGCCTCTGCCTTATGGCAACCCTATGAATGAATAATCACCCAGGTGTCCTGTCTTCAAGTGCCCTGCTCAGCTCTTACAAACTCAAACCCATGGTTCCTTTAGAGAGTCAGTCCATCTCATAGGCGTCTTCCTCTTTTCCTGTTGTCTTCAGCCTTTTCCAGCATTATTGTCTTTTCCAAAGAATGTTGTATTCTCATGGTGAATAGGACAGCTTCAATTTCATAATCTTTATATCCAGATAAATTTCATACTTGATTTAATCTAGGACCCACTTGTTAAGTCCAAGCTATACACAAAGCTCTCCTCCATTACAATATTTCAAAGGAATCAATTTTCTTCCTGTCAGCTTTCTTCACTGTCAAGCTTTCACACTCATACTTAATAATTGGGAATTCAATAGTGTGGATTATCTTGGCCTTGGTATCCGGTTGCACATCTGTCAAGGTTTACTACCTTGTATGTTTATGAGTATTAAAATGTCTATGTGGATTTCAGTTAAATTTGTCCTTAAGCGAAAGTACTTTTTAAAATGTGCAACTTGAAAAAATAGTTTACACGTTTTTCCAAACAATGCATTAGCTCCAGCAGAACTAGCTCTATCATGGCAACTGAATGTCTGTTTTGCTTTTCAAGGAGTGTCTTAGTTAGTCAATCCCTGCCAGCCTTCCCCACCTTGACGTTCTTTCCCTTCCACTCCTCTCAGTTTTTCTTCTGCTTTTTCACAGCCCAATGCTTGTGCCACTTATAATTTCTTGATCAGCGAGCGACGTAGCACAGCTGCTGCACTGATCCCACCTTCCCATCATGAATAGCTGAAAGTAAGACAAGCGGTCAGATGAGTCCTTGGCAGAGGAGCAGAAGAGGCCTCAGCGCCCTTCTTCACTGCGGCACGGGGTGGCCCCTCTTGCTTGGGAGCAAAGCAGGCTGAAAAACTATGGCGTCTTGCTGTGTGGAGCAGCAGAATCCTTCCACTGGAGCTTCAGCTAAGTCAGAATGAAGATGGGGTGTAATGGACGAGCAGTGTTACTGTTTGACTTTTAAGCAGATGTTTTGCGGGGATTGGCAGTTTGGCTGAAAAGGACGAAGTGGGCATTTTAAGCCATGTCGATTATTTGTTGGCCCTGTCAGGCCTTCTCCTAGCTCTCGTCCACTTTAAGAAGTGTTTTGTCCAGAAGGAACATTTACTGTATCCATATCATACTCCTTCATGGGAGTTGAAGACAGTATGTGTACATTCTGTTCTCACAGTACCTTTGTGAGGGGGACTGAAATAAAGCCACTTGCTCAAGACTAATTGTTCAGTGTTGCAGTTTAGCAAAATCCTGAATCTGGGTTTTGTCCCTACAACCACCTAGCCGTGAACAGCAGGAGCACCCCAGGATCCCAACAAAATGAAAAGGCTGGGTTCCAGGGGAATTTTGCAACAGTAGAAAGTCGCCACCGTTTCTACCAAGCAGCTCTGAAAAACGTCCCTGTTCTCTTAATGCCACTGCAGCTGCCTGTTCTAGGGGGTCCTCACCCCCTGCTTCCAGTAGCCACTTTACTGTATGTATGAGGGGACCATAAAAGGGGGGAGGAAAACTCCACAGTGGAGACAACTGTTGACTTTCTTTTGTAAACTGTCAACTTCTCTTGAGTATGGAAGGGAGGAAGATAGTGGAATACGGGCAATAAGGGAGTTACAAGCCTTGGGAATTCACATGGTGCAGACACTGAACTCTAAGCAGCCTTAGAATTTAAGTATGCATTTGCACCAGAGAGTTATAGCAGTTTGATACCACTTTCATGATCAAGGCTGTGTTGTACCAAATGCTGGGACTGGTAGTGTGGTAAAGCACTTGGAATCCTTCACTGGAGAGCTCTTTAGCAGAGCCTTCTGAGTACTTCGGAATAGGTGGCACCACCTGCTGGAGTAACAGGAAGCTTCTACATAGGCTTTTCAGAATCTCTCTATACAGAACGTTGGCTCTAAAACCAAAGTCCAATACCTTAGGATGCTGTGGGTTGTAACAGCAAGAGGAGCCTATCCATTTCTGCCAGACTTGTGCCTTGAGTCTCCTACGGAACAGTGATGCCCCCCCTGTGCAGCATAGCAGAGGTGACCTCCATGCTTGCTTTTGCTACAACTTATGTCACAGATGACCCACTTTCAAATGGCCAACTGCTAATTGAAGCAGAAGTTGCCTTATACTAGCTAAAACCATGTCCAGCTCAACTGTCTAACTTGACTGACCCTGGGACTTCTGACATACTCAACGTATGCTCTACTATCACACTACAGCCATTCTCCAAAGCATCATACACAGTCAGGAAATCTTCAAAGCAAAATGCCTTAAGTTTGTGCTGTGATTTGCTTCTAGAATTATTGAAACCACATCCCCTGACAGTGTGAAGTGAGAGGTAAAGGGGCACTTGTATGACTGCCATGACAATGTAGCCTGAACTTTTTTAAAGGCAAAGGTAAAGGTTCCCCTTGACAATTTTTGTCCAGTCGTGTTCGACTCTAGGGGGCGGTGCTCATCCCCGTTTCCAAGCCATAGAGCCAGCGTTTTTGTCCGAAAACAATCTTCCGTGGTCACATGGCCAGTGCGACTTAGACACGGAACACTGTTACCTTCCCACCAGGGTGGTCCCTATTTATCTACTCGCATTTGCATGCTTTCGAACTGCTAGGTTGGCGGGAGCTGGGACAACAACGGGCACTCACTCCGTCGCGTGGATTCGCTCTTACGACTGCTTGGTCTTCTGACCCTGCAGCACAGGCTTTGGCGGTTTAGCCCGCAGCACCACCACGCCCCTTGAACTTTTTCAGGAGGTGTAATTTAAACGAGCTCCTCCAGGATATGAGCATTTCATTCCAGAATCTCTAGTAAAGGGTCAGCCAAATGAGAAAACTCCTGTTTAGAAACACAACCGCCTCATAGATCCCAAACCTTTTAAAGAAACACAACATGCTGTTTTCTGAAGGTCTCCACTGAACTGCGAGATGTTTCTAAGTGTGTGAGAGATGATCCACCCGTCCCTTCAGTGTACCACACAGCCATATCGGCTCCTGGGTGGTGGTTTCTCCCATTCTGCACGGTGGATGAGATTTGGCCCCTTTTGAGGAATGTTACCAGACTGATACAATGTAAGCATCTCAGGCATACCTGTTACAAATATGGCAGGTATTTCAGCAGGTACAAAAAATTAGGGAGAAGAAAATGCTTTCAAAATGGTTAGTAGAGATATGCTTTATTTGGATCTTTTGGACTCTTAACTCCCAGAATTCTGCTTGAGGAATTGTTGGAGAATTCTGGGAGTTGAAAAAATCTGAATGGCACCAGAAAAGGACTGTGGAACCATTTCTGCCCCTTTCGGGCATGCAGTTTCTCACATACTAAGATCATACATGACTTGCAACATAGCACATGTTCTAAAAGAGCAACAAGCAAGGATATCCATCTGCCCTGCTGAATGGTCTTACTGGTCAATCCAAGAAGAGTTATGAGCGAAAGCTGCTTGAAAGGATTGGGCAACCCCAGCTTGAACTTGAGAAATAGCTCACAAAGGAGAGAGTTCCAGCGATGAACCTAGGAGCGGGTAGGGAGGTACTAGCTTTAATGGTTATTCTAGTGACAGTAGCTGAGGGTATAATCTACATCTGTCCCTCTTGTTTGGCATCACTATGAATGTCATGATTGCAAGTTGTACTCCATGGAAACAAAAGTTTTGGCAAGTGCAGTAACACAGAAAACTGGAGAACGACCTTCTGTATAGCCAGGCAGCCCAGATTATTTTCAAAGACGCCACCTTCCTTCTATTAATATGCAGCAATGGGGAAAGTCATTTTTGGACTACGACTTCTAGAATTATAGCCTAAAATATTTCCAGGCTGACGGGCATTCTGGGAATTGCAGTCAAAAAAAAAGTTAACTTTATTTGCATATTGTCCTCCATGCACCCCTTAATTTTTTCATTCTGGGTTCCTTACGTTTTTCCACTCAGAGGTGTCATTTTCAAATATCATCTTTTCTTGGCCAGCCAATTTAGGCAGCTGCATTTTATTATTTATTTGAATGGCATTCATAGTGTTCTCTTCATTTTTAAAAAAAAAATTGCTGCAGATACGTGTATCTTCTCTTTTGTAATTTCACTGTATTTTCAACAGAGTTCAAAAACAAAAAAGCTATTAGCTAGATACGTTAACTAGATGCAGGCACATGGTCTTGCAGAGAAATATGAGATGCTGTATCTTATTCCTTGAGAGCAGAGGAGCAGCTCCGCATCTGGTGCCAAAAACATCTTCCTACGCAGTAACCCATCTTGATCTGTAGACAGATTTACTGGCTATGAGAGCAGAAACTAAACATTGAAAGGAGGCAAGAAGAGCAGGAGGCATAGCATGTGCAAACTTGGAAAAGTTGATCATTAACTAGTTTCTTTGTGAGCCATTCCTCTGTGTAAATTAAAGATCCCTCCCAGGCAATAGGAAAAACAGTGCCCTCCATGGTTTGGCCTATTTTTGTGGATGGAAGAAGCAAGTGAAATTTTAAAAGACAACCTGACCCTTAGCATCAAATAGCTCCATGACAAGGCTGGAAAAGTTTTGCATTCTCATATTTTATTGTGTAAAAAAATCAAACCCAGACAAACTTCACACACACATACATGGTCTCTCTCTCAAGAGAGAGACAGAGCTTCATCCAGCTGAGAGCACTTCTGGCACAGATCGGTACATCCTCTCCAGCCTTGGTCAAAGCAGCTGATGAATGGAGCGGAGGTCAAGACACGCCACCCCTCCAGCAAAATGGCACTTTTGTGAAGGAAGCAGTTCATGATGATGGCAGCACAGGCCCTGCAGGGCAAAACAAGGCTCTGGAAAGGTGCAGGGGACCTTCATCAGAAAAGGCGCTTTTCATACCTAGAAAAGGAAAGCAGAGGACCGCTGAAGGTGTTTGATGTGAAGTGAAAGTAACAGTAATGAACTTGAGCCCACGTCAAGAGGAGTGTACACTTGGGAAGACCTCTTGGAAATAACTGGTTAAGCCACCATCCCTTTCTGTCATTTAAATTTTAAATGATTTTAAAATGTGTTATTTTAATTGCTAAGTACCAAGTTGCATTATCAATTAACATGTTTAAGTACTCTTAAGTCATTGCTGACAATTTTTAGGAAATTTAATATTCACACAGTAGAACAACAAAAACCCTTGCAATGAGTGATTTGGGATGGTTGTCTGACCTCATTGACAGTCCCAGTGTTAGAAATACAGGATTCTATCTGGCAAAAAGGATTCATGCAGCCTCCTTGCATTTTCTGTCCTTGTTCCCATAAATATGTCCAACCTACTGATAACCACAGCATGTCATATCTGTTTCACTGAAAAATGGCATGAGGCATATTTCATCCTGATCCGTTAAGACTACTTGGGAGTAAAAGTACTCCAATGGCAAAGTATAACCATGCACAACTGTCCACAATTACAGTGACTGAGATTTTTTTGTTCCAGCTGTTTTTTTTTTAAAATGAGAACCTGAAATTAAAAATAACATACGAGTGGAGTCCGTGAACCCCTCCTTCCACTTGGGCAGATGTTGTCCTCTTTTCAAATTTCAGCTCTCCAGAATACATCATGGCCCTGGCGATGAAAGGCGGAAGATTGAGAAAACCATTCCTGCCTCAACTCCCCAAAAGCTGCATGGCTGGAACAGCAGTGGACAGAAGCCAGGGTGCAGCCGGACCACCCCAGTCTCAGACTGGGATGGGAGCAGGGGCCATGCCTGCTGGCTTTCCAAACATTACCCCCTCCCCTCAGACAGCTGTTGCATACAGTAGCACAAATACTTTATATTCTACACAGACAAGTTGCAAACAGGAGACTGTAAATGTTCTCACCTCAGTTGTGTTAAGCTCTTTGCACCGATATCCTGGCAGGAGTGCTGAATGCCAACAATCAGGTATGGCACAAACTTGTGGATTGAGCCCTTGTCTTGCACGGCACCCGAGACCCCTTGTGCCACCTTGATTTTATCTGTCTCACTGAGAACCACAAAGAAGAAGACCTGTGACAACCATAGTACTGAAATGTCTCGGGCTACTCTTTTCACAGGCATGGGGGAATCGTTTCTTATTTAATGTTGCAACAGAAAGCACCCCCAAGATTCTAGATATAAATACAGATCCTCTTCTACTACCATTTAACGCTGTCCAATATCTGCCCCAAATATCACTTGTTCATTCAGGCAGGGATGTGACAAACCCCTGGCAGAAGGAGATCCTGTAAAAGTGAAACTGCTAGCTAGAATGTCAGAATTTATGTAATTCTCAAACTGCAAGCATCTTTATTTATTTATTTACTTTCTTCAAAATATTTTTTACCCCATTTCTCCTTCTAAAGGACCAACGGCGCCTTACATTGTTACATCATGTGGTTGTACGATTTTAGCACAATACCCGGAAAACAAACCGTTCTGGTACCTGAAGTATCTCGTCTGGCTGCCCAGGTTCTTGTCCATGGCATCCAGTGACCCCATGCCCCGGTACTTCTTCAGCCGTATCCCATCAGAGAAGAAATACTCCCCTGGGGCTTCTGTGGTGGCAGCCAGAAGGGAGCCCATCATCACTACAGTCAGCAAAGAAAACAAAAAGAATGCTGTGAGAGGGAGAGAGACTATAAAAAGAGCAGGAGAACTGGTTTCGACTTAATAGACTCTTTAGGTCCAGGTGTGGGGCAGAGGTAACTGTAATGCCTGCTAGAGAGCATTTATGCGCAGCAGTCATATAACACCGCTTCTTTTTGCATGAAAATGCAGCCATTTCAGGAAATCCTTCTCCACATGGTTCCCAGAAGGACATATAGTGGAGTTACATCAGTATTTCCTCAAAGCAATTCACATGACATGCAAGACTGCTCACTGTTATGTCAGCTGGGATCTGTCTCCACCCAAGAGCTCCCTCTAGTGATCACCGGCCCCACGCAGGACAAAAAAGGGCCCTGCTCTCATGCACTTACAAAGGGTACAGTCCTATCGAAGATGCTGTGGGATGCTGTCCCCCTGGAGCATCCTGGCATTCCAGGTGCTCTCATTAGCAGTTAGCATGTTCATGCAAGCCAAACGGAAGTCATCTCCAACTTCTCCTCTCACCTGTGGAAGCGCCAAGGGCAAGGGCCTTGGCAATATGCCCAACATTTTGGATGCCACCATCTGCAATCACGGGCACCCCAAACCTCCGGGCATACTCGGACACTTTGTAGACCGCTGTGGCCTGTGGCCTCCCGCATGCCAAGACTAAATCACAGAGAGAAAAGAAGTAAAAGCAGTCAGTGGCTGAAACAAAGCCAGCTTCTTAAACAAGAGGGTCTCTGTTACTCTTTAACACACATAGTATTAGAAAGTGCATGGCATTTTTGAGCTACATATGCTCGTTAGCACAACACAAGAGAAGCAACTCAGCCAGCAGGGGAGGCACCATCCACCACTTTGTCTCAAAATGCGTCAAAGGAATGATCTATTGCTCTGCAGCGGGCCGACAGTTCAAAGGTCAACAGCCTAGAGAGCAGGTGAAAAGTGTAGGCAAGCACGTTGATCGGCCTTGGGTTCTGCTGGCCTGCCGCATCCAGGCAGACAAGTAAAAAATTTGTGGGGGGTTTTTGGGTTCAAACTCCCAGAACTCCACCAAGCTATCAATTTTAGAGAATCCTAGTAGCTGTAATTGAAAACTACAAACATGGACCTCTCTGATAAAAGCCCTCAGTCTGGACCCAAATGCTTGAAAGGGAGTTCTTCCCAAGCCAACTGCCTCTTGACACACAGGATCATGGGAACAAGGACAAGCAAAGTGCCGTTTGCTGAACGCTTAACATAAGGCCGAAAAGAGTTGGGAAAGGGAATCCCTCTGAATTAAATGGATTCCTTTAGAGCAGTGGTCCCCAACCTTGGGCCTCCAGGTGTTCTTGGACTTCAACTCCCAGAAATCCTGGCCAGCAGAAGTAGTGGTGAAGGCTTCTGGGAGTTGTAGTCCAAGAACATTAGGAGACCCAAGGTTGGGGACCACTGCTTTGGAGCACACCAGAGTGTCAGCGCGGGGGTCTTTTGTACTTTGTATTGTTCCAAATTCGCTAGTGCGTTCCACTCCCACGGTGCAGGGACTCTGATGTATAGGCTGGAAATTATGCACACTAGGATAGCCAAGGAAATGCACAAAGTCTGCCGAAAATGGCCTGCTCCTTCCTCCCCCTCACACCAAACAAGGACCTTTTCTTCAGCGTGGTTAGTACCGGGTGCCAGAAGAGATCACCACCATGCAGGATTAGTCAGAATGCACACTTCCTGTTAAATGCAGCGTTTCAGACTTGCTCCCGGTCGTGTCAGAGCTAACTCAGTGCTTCATCAAGAAACCGAGCCCAACACAAAACATTTTGCCCTCGCTCTTCAGTTCTGAGGGCTGGGTATTGGCAGCCCCACAGAGATGTTTCATTTTGTGAAAAGTTAAGTTTTTGGATCCTGCTGAAATCAACTGCACTGAACTGGAATCTAGTTTGACAGCAATGTGGGTCATCCACAAGATGTGACATTGTTACTACTAAGGAGATGGTCTCCCTTTTGCTGTGATGACATTACAACTCCCAAAGGTTAAAAGCTTTTTTAAAAAATACATTAATTGTGCCAAGCTTCTAAGCAACAAGTATGAACGCACATGCACCCTATAAGTAAAAATTGAGTCACGTGAGTAACTGACGTTTGCACCAGGATGTACAAAATTGTACACTGTAACCAGCCCTTTATCATTTAGCATGCTGCACCAGATAATGAGAGGCAGGCATACTGTCCTGGTGCCCAGCATCGTGACTCACAAAGGTGGTGATAGCTTTCAAAGCAGGGTTCGAAATTTAACATTTGTGCCATTTGGATTCCCAGAGAATAAGAGATGCAAAATAGGTAAAGTGAGTCTTTTACTGAAGAAACTCAATATTGCTCTAAACGACAACCTCCTCTGAGAGAGGTTATCTCTGAACAGACATACACAACCTTGTTGAATTTAAGAGGACATAGTCTATCAAACAGCTACTTTCTTCGTGTGTACAAATGGGAAAATGGCAAATGTCCCATCCTACGCCCCTATCAGGAATAGTCAGGGCACAGAGAACTTGCTTTCCACGTGGGTATTGTGGGGACACTTTTGCAGTTGTGTAGACAAACGCCTAAGTAGAAAGAACAGCTGTCTAAGGATGAAGAGCACACAGGGCCTTTGATTTTCAAATATTTAAAAGGCTATCTAGAAATGGTCTTATGACAAAAGCATAAAATTGCATGAATGGCAATTAAAGGCAAAGAATGTTCAAAGCTCTCTATCGGACGCAGCAAGCGATCACCACATGATGTTTATGGCAGCTGCAAAACACCCTCCTTGCTGATTATGTTGCAGGGACCAGGCTGCCTAAAACTGACAGTAAGTTTATCCGTTGTGCCTTCCGCAAAAATAGGTCTTGGTTGTAAAGTTTGCATGCTTTTGTTGACATGGGTCTATTTAATTGAAATCTTACAGAAACAGCACTTTATCTATTTTGTATTTCAAAGGAGGAAGGAATTACGTTAATTACATTTCTTCACAGCTGCCTTCTCAAGTGTCAGGTAACTATGGCACCTTTGCCCCTTAAGACGGAAAAAGTGGACAATGGGACCTTTTAAAAGACCAATTCTAGATTTAGGAAGAAGAACAGAATTTCAAGCTGATGTCAACCCAGAAGGTCTATATTAAAACCCTGCTTTAGACAAGGTCCAGGAACAGAAAGCTATCAACTTCAACAACCAGTATCCAAAGCCACAAAACCCCAAGTGCGTGAACAACCAGATTATTCTCAAACAAGCAGGGGCAGGAGAGGGCAACGGGCAGCCAATTAGAGCCTTGCTCTAAGATGCTGAAATGAAGGGCTGGGGAGCAGGGCCATGACTTACTATAGGTGCCAGTGACTGTGGAAGGGCATTTGGGGCTGTGGGACTTTAGGTCTGGAGGGATCTTTGGAGCAGCTGAACAAGACAAAAACATACACAGGGTAGAGATAAGAGAAGAGCTGCAAGAACCAGAGGGCACCCAAACAGTGAGGCAATGCCAACACACACAGGGCTGGCACTGGGCACCCTGGCTGCACTCCATTCGTTGCAGGGGGAAATGAACCTGATGAACCTCTTCAGGAACAAAATGGCCCTGACCTGGCCACTGGCCACGCTTCCTTTCCCTTGGCCTGCCCCGACCTGGCACACAACTGAACGACTGCACTTTGTGCTCAGAGTTTGATTCCTCTGTTCCAGTTGCTCACGGAGGGATCAATGTCTCAGCCGTGGCAATACTGGCACGGCAAAAATACAGAAGGCCACCTCAATAGGTCACCTTAAGATGCCTTGATGGAGTAGAAGTCAACCCTTTACTTCCCCAGCACTGGGATATATTCTGGACTGGCAGCCCCACGGGGTTACATCAGGTCCTCAGAACAAGACAATGGGAAAGAGCAGGCGGACAGTCATTTTACCTTCTTGGGTGATGCAGATGGAGCCGCTGCCCATGCCAACTCTCAGGGCATCAGCCCCAGCGTCAATCAGGTTCTTTGCTTGAGCTGCTGTCACCACTAGAAAAAGGTGGAGATGTTTTAAAGGCAGGGAAGAGGGACAGGGAACTGGCATTCCTTCACTCCCCTCACCCTCGGCATGCAACAAAACAAATTCTTCCGTCCAAGGAAATGGGAGTGAATTTGTGGAAGTATTTAAGGACTTGGGAAGACCTTCTTCCCAAAGGAGGAGGTGGCTGACACAGTCTCAGTGGGGAAAATTGAGATTTGGATTCCATCTCTTGGCCAAATCACTTTTAGCTTTGCAAAAACAGATATTTTATGCTGCTATGTGTTGGGCCACAGTCTCAGAATCCAAGATTCTACTGAAGGATTCCTTCCTCTAAGCCTGTCATTGCCAACCTTGGGTAACCCAGGTGTTCCTGGACTGCAAGTCCCAGAAGCCTTCACCAGGAGCTGTGCTGGCTGGGGTTTCTGGGAGCTGCAGTCCAAGAACACCTGGGTTACCCAAGGTGGGCAACCACTGCTCTAGGCCTTACATTTTGTCCCTTAGACTGACACCTGAATATCAAGATCAGAGATGGGGAACATAGGGTCCTTCAAATGCTGATAGGCTGTATTTCCTATCATCCCTTATTATACAGTATTTGCTAGCTGAGCTGATAGGTGTTTCATTCCAATCACTTATGGAGTGCCAATGCTCTTCCCTCTCTAATCTCAAAGGATTTAGGACAACCGATAACCAACAGAGTATCAAAGCAGGTGGAATGGGATTACTAAGGGCTACAATGAAACAAAGCCCTTCTTAGCCAAAAGACGATGTTGGCCCCTTGGTGACAGAGAACTACCCAAGGGTGCCTTCACCAGCTAATGTGGCTTTACAAAGACAGTTTCACTGCATAGTAAATAAAGATGCTCAGCAAGAGCAGGCTAACACCAACGGAAGAAAGGGAACCATATTTTAACACTTAGATTACAAATAAAGATCTTGTTACCATTTCCTCCAATGACCTGGAGATCCAGATACTTCTCTTTGATATATTTGATCATGTTGATCTGAAAAATGGAATTCCCCTGAGAAGAATCCTGCAGGAGTAAAAAGTGAAAAATAAGCACTCAACTAAACCCTATATTACTGTTTTTTATGAAGTCTAAATGTGTTTGGATAAGAAGTCTATCATCCAAATATCTGTATCCAGAACCTTCCAGAGCAGTTCTATGCCAACATTTGACATACCTTTCCTTCTAACCACGACATTAATAATAAATAATACTGAAATGAATCCACTTTCTGCACAACATGCTCTTACTGTAGTGAATTCTGATTTTGCTTTAAAAAGGACATTATTTTTGTATTGATTTACAAAACAGATCTACAATACCTGAAAGGCCAGGGAAAAAAACTATTTTTTATTGCTGCCTATTTCTGAGATCCTCAATCACCCTAATAGATTTGCACATGAAAACAGGCTATGCCAAAATGCAAAAGATTCACATTTTACTATTTTCAAAGTTGGGAGGGAAGAAGATAAGATAAGATAGGGAAAATGGATATTTTCAGGTGGGAGTTGTTGCTAACACATGGGGACTGGCAGGGAAAGAGTTGAGTATCATTCTCAGAGGGGAAAAGAAGAGCAAGTGAACTAAAAAGACAGCCAACCTAGGTGAACATTCCAAGCAACTGTAGGCCTGAGTGCAGTTTGAAATATGGAATACGTAGCTTGATCAATCCCCAAATGAAGATGGTGGAACCGGGACGGCCTCTGAGATCTCCTTAAAGATGGGGATGCTTTTCCAATCTCCAAAGCAGTATTCTGCCCCCCCCCCATACAGTTTAAAAAAACTTCTGGTTCAGGACTGGCAGTTCACCAGAGCCATACAGAAAGGAGAAAGAAAGGTGGTCAGAGGTGGTCTTTGTACCTCCTACCAAGGACCTGAGGATATAAACAGAACGAAATGGCTCTTGCTTCAGTCTAGTGTGGTCATTAAAAGGAGCACTCATTTTACAGATGCTCAGTTTCTTATTCTCTTTAATAACAAACCTGGGTGACTGAATCCATTGGATCCAAAATGGAAACACTTAAAAACAAGAGGAGGGTTATTAAGCTTGCTCAAGTGAACCCTGAAAACTACTGCCATAGGACGTAGGGCCTATAATCTTGCCATGAGGTTTAGAACCTTGTTTTTATTTTTTAAAATTAAACTAAAGATGTTTGAAAAGTACAGCATATGGTGATTATATTCCTCATGATTAGGTAAAGGCAAAGCTGCTCAAAGGTAACCCCTAGTATAGTACTTCTACCTTGCACCAGCCCAGCATTTCTTTAAGGGCCAACTTAATGCAGCTCTATCCCTTCCACTCTTACTATATACTTAAAATGTTTGTACACCATCAAACTTCCAGGGAAGCCTACTAAACTCCTTAATTTAAAAAGCTTAAGTGCCAATAACAACAATATCCTCCATGATCCCTCGGAGAAGCTAGATAGTTAAGAACAGCCCATCAGTGTATATGGTTACTAATATGTGAATCTCTGAAATTCAGGTGCAGGTGTCTTACAAAATGCACTCTTTTGCACATCCATTATTCACAGCACTCACCAGCACAACAACATCCACACCAGCTTGCACCAGTAGGTCAAGACGGTACTTGTCATCTTCGTGGGTTCCGATGGCAGCTCCACATAGTAGCTGCTTCTTGGAATCTTTACTGGCCAGTGGGTAGTCCCGATTCTTCTTCAGGTCTGTGCGAGCAATTATGGACACCAGCTCACCCTTTTCATTAACGATTGGCAATTTTCCTTGAAACAAAAGAGGGAATGCTACGAGTTATTACTCAGCTACGGTTACAACTGCTCCCAATGTGAACATACACTGGATACTGCTGGTGCTGGTATGTTCCCTTCACTCTAGACGCTGGCAGAGTTCACACTGCAGGAGTCATCGCGGCTAACACATCAACCAATGAAAGCCAACATGGCTAAGTACTCGTATGGCACCAACTCACCCAATACTACATCACTATCTCCACTTACCTTTCTTACTCCTCTGCAAGATTTCATTGGCTTCTTTTAACGTAACTCCTGCAGGTGCTACAACCAGGTCTTCCCGCTTAGTCATGATCTGGCATGGAAAAGAAGCAGCAAAATGAAAAGGATTTCCCCCCTAAGCCAAGTAGTTTTCGAATAGGCAGACAAACAGACTGGAATCTCCCAACAGTGAAGATGGCGACAAACAATTCCCATGCAGCACTATTTTACTTGACCTTATACAAAGACTGAATGCATTTTAATCAAGGTTTATATTATTTGCTACAAAGGAAGGAAAGCCAGTTGTGGCCCCTCCACCTGACTTCTCAGCCATTTGACTGTGCGTGACACGTTATCAGCTGGAGATGCATTGAGGATTATTCTTTTGGATTAACTGAATTCAGAACCACAGGGCAAATTCAGTCATCAAACTCTGTCCAGGACAGTTCCACTCGCTACCGCCTGACTCTGCTCCAGAGTAAGCAAGGGCCTGATGATAATAATGAAATCAGACCAGAACATCAAGAGGTGGCGTCCCAGTTCCAAAATGTCAAAGCAAAGAATTCAGCCTTGTTCAGTCTTAGCTGAACTCTTCCTACCAGTAGGACACATACAATTCCCACCTGAGAATGATTACAGACAATTTAAGACTATCCTTGGGATATGCATATAATGCCAAGTTTCATCAGCACAACCTAAAGATAGCACAAGGAAACAGAGCTGGCTAACAGGCATCATGGGACACTGCAGTGCTGAAACACAACACCCAGCTACTGTGGTTACTCTAATGCTACTGCCACACGGATGACATTGTGCAATGAGGGGGAAATCAGCCAACTGAAAAGGTGAAAGGTAACTTCCATAAACCAGTGCTAGGCTACAACATCCCAAGACTTAATTCCTTTGATCCAGTGCAAAAGCACTACAGAAGCTTTCAACCTCCCCTAGCACAAACTGCATGTTTTTTTTTCCATCTTGCCTACTCTGGCAGAAAGGACGTTCACTCACCTCACTAAGTGGCAGGTCATGTTCTTCCTCCTTCAGAAAATCGATGTCTCGGGAGGAGATAATCCCCATGAGTCGGCTGCCCATCTTCCCATTGTCTGTGATGGGGATGCCGCAGAACCCATGACGGGCCTTTGCTTCAAAAACATCTCGGACACGGTCTTTGGGACTCAGCACCACTGGGTCTGTGATAAATCCCTGTTCATATTTCTGGAGCAAAACACCACCAGAAGAAAAATGTTGAGCAGTGGAAGAAAAGAGAGCTAGATACAGCTGAGCAGATGGGTAAATAAAGCCAGGCAGAGGAGAGAGCAAGAATGTCTCAAGTAATGGGCAGTACAGAAATGTCTGCAGCTGTATAACACCAAAGCCAGACCTTTCAAATGTGATCATGGACTCAACCAGAGAAGTGTACAAATATGCGTAGGAAAAGGCAGGTAGCCTTTTATGCACAAAGTTCATCAGTAAAACAGAATATTATTGTAATAAAGGGAAGCCGTGTGGTCAATATAAAATAAAATACAAATGCAAGAAGAGGCGATACCTTTACAGATCGCTAAAAATCATCATATAATATGTGAGCTTTTGTGGATTAAACACCACTTCATTGAGCTTGTACCAGTGTAAAGAACTTTGAAGTCCAAAGGTTTATGGCAAGATGGACTTTGCTAGGAAAATTGACTCTTAGATGTGAAGGCCAAAAATTCTTGGCAAGACTATTATACGGAGCTAACACAAACCAATGTTTCCACCTAAATGTACCATCATATTCACCACAGTTTCTGCTGATAGCAACCTCAGTCAAATTATCTCAACATAGGACATTTTCAAACCACTGGATTTACCTTCACTTTTCGTACTTCATTGGCCTGGAATTCTGGAGTACAGTTATGATGGATAAATCCAATCCCACCTGTGAGCTGAAAAAAGCACAGAAGGAAACTTGAGTCATAAGAACAGTAACACGTCTTTCCTGCCATCAGCCGGGAAGCAGGCAGAAGGCTGGCAGGGGTGGCTCCTAAGCAGCAACAGTTTATTTTTTTTTCCTTTTATTTTTTTAAATGTATATATATATTTATCACACATATAAACCTACAAAACTAAACCAAAACACACAAAATAAACAAAAGCCATAAAAATAGAATAAAAGACAAAAACGAAACAAAACCCCCCATATAGGCAGGGTGGAGGCATTTCCATACAGTATTATCCATTATATAAATCTGACGGCATCAATCTTATTGCTCTTAAAGAATTGATTCAAATATAAACCGTCCTAAGGTTACAATAATTCTAATAATTGATTTTTTTAATGATTATTTCTCTCACATCCTTGGCTAACCAATTATATCTCAGAATATCAATGTTTTACCATCATGAACAAAACCACAAGATATATTTATCTAACATTGGCTACTTAATCATATTATAATTTATATGTGCTTAATATCTCTATGTAAATGCATTATAATTGGATAATCTCCATAGCGGCAACAGTTTCTTAAGGGGAAAGTTCCACTTATGAAAAGACAGAAATAAAGATGCACATGATAGAAGTACAGACAAAACAAGTGCAAAATTTTACTAAAATGTACTGAAGCTAACATGGACTGAAATCTTGTTGCACAACTTTATGACACTCAATGACGACAGCATCAGCTGGTGACATTGCTGTTAATTTTATTTTAATCTAAAACTTCCTATACTCTCCACTTTATGTTCTGAAGCTCCTTAAGGATCCCTTTTGCCCTGGAAAAAACCAGAACCAAAACTCTTTCTAAGCTGTGTGGCAGCACAGAGCTGTTCTGATACAACGCACCCTCAGTTAGTGTTGCCACTCATTTGGTTTCGGTTGCAGCCAAAACTTTGCACACATGGGGTGGGGTTTCCTCTCAGTGCTTGAGGAAAATTAGAGGGAACGTTGTCCAGAATCTTGGGGAGGGGGGCGTGGAAGGGAAAAATTGCTGCTGGTCATCAAACAGGGATCCTATAGAGACTTGGAACCTAAAGAATGCGGGTCTGTCTCTTAGGATGTTAAGGACAGAAATTATGGAAATCAAGCTGAGCTTATCTCTACAGCTTCTTCCGGGATACCCAGGTGTGTTTTACACACAAGTGCCCTTCCAAGGAGGATAATCCCTCCCTTGCTCCTGATCTGGTCTACTTACAGCCATTGCGATAGCCATGCTGGCTTCTGTTACAGTGTCCATTGGGGAGGATACCAAGGGAGTCTTCAGTGTTATCTTCTTGGTCAGAGCAGAGGTCAGGTCCTTAAAATAAAGAAAGTCTCACATTGTGACAGCATGCCACTTCATTTCTATGACTTTCAAACACTATTATAAGCTCTTAGTATACATGAGAAGGAAACACATTGTTTTTAAAAAATGAAACATGAAGTCCTCAGTGTCCCTGAGTGCAAGATGGGGGCTGGAGGTTGCTCAGCATTGCACAAGAGTCTGTCCTCAGAGGCGAGATGGAAAGAAGAAGCAATAGCAATTTTCTGACGTTCCTTATGGTACTTCCTAAAGAAAGGCAAAAAGGACTCTCCTACAATAACCAAAGTTGAGTTCCTAGCATTTATTTTATGTATCATGCAATCTTAAGGCTCATACTCACCACTTGGTCTGCAGTAAAATCTATGTAGCCAGGGAGTATCAAGAAGTCACTAAATTAACAGGAAAAAGAAATATTATTACACACTGAACTTTTTAAACTTACAGATAAGTTTATAACGTGTTTTGTGGCTCCTTATACCATATTTGCGGAATAGATAAATATTGGTCCTGTCTTAGTAGCTATGAACTTTTAAGGCCAAATTATATCATTATATTGAATTTCTGCGATTAGAATCCCACAATTTCCCTCCTCAAAAAATAGGACCCATGAACATGGGGCATTAAATGGGGACTATGGGAGAAAGGATTTAAATTTCTGACTCTACAGAAATTTTGAATTTATATCCTTCCACTACCAAATCTGCTATGAGATATGGGTATGTGTGTCTGAAATTCTTTCCCTTCCACGCCTAGCACAGGCCTTGACGTGTGCATGCGCAATACTTGAGCTCATCCCCGTTTCCAAGCCATGGAGCCAGCGTTTTCTCCGAAGACAATCTTTCCATGGTCACATGGCCATTGCGACTCAGACACGGAACACTGTTACCTTCCCACCGAAGTGGTCCCTATTTATTTACTTGCATTTGCATGCTTTCGAACTGCTAGGTTGGCGGGAGCTGGGACAAGCGACAGGAGCTCATTCCGTTGCGTGGATTCGATCTTACGACTGCTGGTCTTCTGACCTCACAGTACAGAGGCTTCTGTGGTTTAGCCCACAAACTGATGTCACACTTATTGTGTTCCTCTCAATTACAAAGGAGCAGCAATGCAAGAAGAGGATCAGAGGAGGTTATTTTGTAGGGCACAAAACTGAAAGAAAGCTGAATGTTGGGACCAAGCTGCCACACTTGAGTCACAGCAGCAGAAAGAGTCAGAAGGCATTGTACTGGTCCAAAATAACTGATCTTGCTCTGAGGTTAGGCGTTTGCTGTAATTCTGAGTTGGTTCCAATATCAGAGTTCAATCCAGAAAACTGCTTTGAAATGAAGAATTTTTGCTGAGAGACCATACAGTTATGTGGAATGGCCAGAAACCTGCTGGAGTGCCATATTCTGGCTCCACTAATCACTGTCTGCCCCAAGACTGCCCCCCACCAACACCAGGCTTATACCTTTTTTTAAAAAAGTCATTTTCAGGGTGGGGAGGTGTTTGTAGCTCAATCAAGCCTTTTTATAGTGCATTCAAATATTTCCTGTACAAAATGTCCTAAATTTAATCTCTGGCATTTCCTGTTAAAAGGATTTTGGATTAATGGGGTTGAGTAAGATTTAGGCCTGAAATACAGTGAAAGTGAAAGAAGTGAAGTCGGCAGACGACTCTTGTATCCTGGCAATATAAGGGTGCCTCACATACATGTAAATTCAGACTCCCTCGTCAAATCTGAAATCTGTACCTCAGGACTTGGAAGGACTGAATGTCAGGGCATTCTGATCTTTAGAAATCCCCCCCACTACACACCTGCTGATTGTCCTTCTCTCCACCCACCCCTGGAAAATCTCAAGGGAAAAGGACAGTTGTGAAATTCCCTAGCCCAATGTTCAAGCGGAAAAGTTAGCTGTTCTTTAACCAAAATCTTTTCCCAAAACTGGAAACCTTCCAGGAGTCCTGAAAAGCCTTTTCTGTCATGCAGAAGCAATGGGGTGGGTGGGTTCTGTGTACAGAAGATGCTAGGAACAACTAACAAGGCCAAAGTCTATATGCCTTGTTTGTAAGCATCCTGCAAGCCTGTGGCTGGTTGCTGGGCAAGATGAGCGGCAATATAATTTTTTTAATAATTGCATTAATGATCCTGAGACACAAGCTAAACGATCACTGTTGCTTTGCTATGGGAGACCATTTTATTCTTTGTTTGTGTGCCTACACTATATTATTTTTAAGGATGTTTTTAGCCTATTGAAAACAATTCTATACTTGAAACATGGGGGTTAAAACAAAAGTAAAATAATAATATGTATAAAAGCTATAATTTAACCACTATATCTTTGTATAAGTAGAAAACAAACTTAACCTGCATTTTAAAAAACTTGGTGGATAAATTCACTGACTCTACTATTCATTTCCCAAAGCTGCCAATCCAATACCCTTGGAAAGCAGAGGTTGTAGCCCTGGGAGTTGTTGGTTTTATTTTTAATGAGGCTCAGAAAATCTCCATGTGGAGACAATTTTGCCATATTTTACTCTCAGCAAACCCCACTCCCCTTTTGGCCACTATAGGGAATGAGGAATCTTTTTCATTAAAGATGAATCGATAAAATAATCCTTTGTAAAAGAAAAATATTTTGAGGGCTGTGGATGTATGGGAGTGTTATAGGACTCAGGAGAATTAGGTTAAAACTCAATCACAGGTAGCAATGATAAGCCGCTCCATGAACAATTCATAAACCCAGTTAGGGTTGTCAGTAAAGTACTTTTAAGGGACTTGATTGCAAATATCACCAATGTAAGTTATGTTGTGTATGTTACAACAGGAGGCAAGACCTTAACTGAGAGCTAAACAAACAGCGTCAACCTTGCTGATAAATTCTAGTTCAACATATTATGCAAGAATATCCCTTTAAAATTCTTTTGTGAAAGAATGATGACTGAATTCAGTTGCAAAGCATCCTGGTATCTCCCCCCTCCCGCCCAACTTCTGTACTTTGCCTTTTAAATACAGTGATGCCTTGACTCATGAACGTCCCGACTTACGACCTTTTTGAGTTATGACCAGCTCCGGCCACAAAATTTTGCTTTGACTTGGGGCCGAACTTCCAGTTATGAACAGAAAAAGGCAGGGGGGAAAGGCGGGAAATACAAATTGCTAACCATTAGTAGGCGAAGAGGCTGCTTCTTTGCACCCAATGGTTAGAGCGAGTGCAATCGGAGGAGGCTTCGGACTGCCTGCTAATGTAAGGTGCTGCTTTCTCCTTTTTAAAAACTGTTCTGGGTGGGGTTTGCAGCATGGTTTTGAGCTGGGGGTTATGTTTCTGTGCTGTGATGGGTCTTGGTGGGGTTGTTTGCTTTTTGGTTCCCCCCGATTTCTGATGGGTCTTGGGGGGTTTCGTTTGTGGGTTCCCCCCTTTTCCAATGGGTCTTGGGAGGGTTCCCCCATTTCTGATAGGTCTTGGGGGGGGGGTTGCTTGCTTTTTGGTTTCCCTCCATTTCCAATGGGTCTTGGGGGGTTTGTTTGCTCTTTGGGTTTTTTCCACCATTTCCGATGGGTCTTGCATGCGTCGCTTGCTTTCTGCTTTACTTTTTTTTCCATTTCTGATGGGTCTTGCATGCTCCGCTTGCTTTTTGCTTTGCTTTTTTTTCATTTCCGATGGGTCTTGCATGCTCCGCTTGCTTTTCTCCCCCACCCCCTTTGGCCAGAATGGATTAACTGCGTTTCCAATGGGTCTTGCAGTGATTTTTGGGGGATGTTTCATCCGGAACAGTTTAATTACCTTTCAATGCATTTCTATGGGAAATGGTGCTTCAACTTACGAACATTTTGAGTTACGACCAGAGTTCGAGAACCAATGAAGTTCGTAAGTTGAGACACCACTGTATCAAATTTATGTCTGGTTCTTGTTTTGGATACAAAAAGACCTCCTTGTCATATGGCAATATTCGTGCAAAGAACAAATTAACAAAATTTTACTTTATAAATGGCAATACTGAGAGAAACATATCCTCAGTAGCATCAAAAATCAAGGCTGGCTTTATGAACACAATGCTAAAAGCCTTCCATAAGTTTGCAATTTATTCTACGATAGAAAATGACAGGTCTTGGGTGGAAAAACTGCTTCCCAGTGGCAAAGTTTGTTTTCAAACAGCCACAGTTTATTTATAGATAGCAGTTCACAGGCGTATTTATTGCTCATAAAGGAAAAGGGTCAACTTTCTAGTGCAGAACTATTTCTGGAACAGTTTTTCAAAAGGGTCATATTGCTTGTCTGGCCAGGGAGAATCATATGAGGCATGCGTGCAAAAATATTAGGGATGACATGAAACTCAACCTGAAACTGTGGGGGGAGGAGGGGAGAGGAGGAGGGAGAGAAAGAGATTTTGTGTTGCTCCCAGCTTCTCCTTATACAAGAATTATAACATAATGCTCTCAGACTTGTCATATGGAGCAACAGATGGCTGAAGAATAGGCTCTGTCAAAAATTCACTGCAGACATACAGAATTACAGAAACAGTGTTAAATTAGGAGCACAACATTTTGTCAAAAACCAAGGGTGATCTCCACCTAGAGCACCATCTCCCACTGCTATAAGTGATGGGAATCCAGTGATCCCAGAAGTCATCCCAGAATGTTTTTCTCCTTGTAGTCCACACGAGCAGGTTGAGCAGGTGATACTTTTATTAGACCACTAAAAGAAAACCAAGCGGGATCTGAAGGCCTTAGGAATGGACCTCAACAGATGGGAAACCTTGACATCTGAGCATTCAGCCTGGATGCAGGCGGTGCACCATGGCCTCTCCCAATTTGAAGAGACACTTCTTCAGCAGGCCGAGGCAAAGAAACCATCAAAAGCAGGGAGCTCGAGAGGGGACAGATTGTATTTGTCTTCAGTGTGGAAGGGATTGTCACTCTTGAATTGGCCGTCTCAGCCACACTAGACACTGTTCCAAGACCTCTATTCAGAGCATGTTACCATAGTCCCTCAAGACTAAAGGATGCCTACACGAAAAGAAAACCAAGCAAACAGGCAGCTAACCTTTGAGGATAATTCATCTTCTTCAGGCTGTACATCAAATTATTGTGGTTAGTTCAGAAGTTGGTGCACAGCCTAAAGAAGATGATTTATCATCGGTAATTGCCTGTTGTTTGCTTAATTATTTTAGTAGTCTAATAAAGGTATCACCTGCTCCTGCGTTTGCATTGTTCTGGAGACAACACAACCATTTTCTGGTTTTCAATTAGCAGCTAGTTTATAGGAAAAGGAGGGTGGGGTTTCTCCAGGTTCTGGGGCCAAACACAAATGTCTAAGAACCACTCAACCAAAGGGTAGTGTAGTATTGCTGTAAACAATGCATGGGTATCTTTGATCAACATCATGAAGTAGTGATTGTCTGGGCGACACAAAGTGGATTTTATAAAGGTAAGGCAGGCTTGCTGGACAAACTTTGAAGACTAAATATCTTCAAAGGTCTTGCCAAGTTTGCAGTTTTGTTTTATGGGATGGATGACTATCTAATGTGTAGAAAGGCAGAGAGAGGAAAAAATCTCCCAAAAAAGCAAGCCAAAAAGGATATCCTGCCATGAGTTTTAGGCAGAAACTTGCTCTGCAGGAACATTTAGCAACTATAGTCCTCCTGCTTGCCCTGACCAAAAGGCCCATAAGCTCCTGGGACTGATTCTGTTCATGAAACAGAAAACATAAAAAGCAGATCAGTGCTACTCTACAGGAAACAGGTGCGCTCCAAAGGGTACTATGGAACTCCCAGAAAGGGAAGACAAGGTCTATATAGAATTGGGAATGACAGCTGCTCTGTGAAACTGCAGACTGACACAGATCAAACAAAGGAGAACTGGAGTGGGGAGGCTGAAGGGGTCTGCTCCATAAACCCCTCTCTGAAATTGCACGCTGTCAGTGTCTGCTTCTGGCACAGAAAATTTACAGAGACACAATAAGCAGAAGTGGAGGCACTGGTCCAGCTCCAGAACAGGCCTCTTTAGAGTCTGAAACAAACCCTCACGTCTTATGAATCTAATAAACTCTTTTAAAGATACTACAAAGGCCTGGCTAGCGGGCTCAGTGTTGCTTCGAGTACAGTATTCCTTTTAAACCACCTTCATCCTGAGTTCTGGGCTGAGGTTGTTCCATTCCTTAATTTATGTCTTTCTCTTCCTTTCAGCTGGAACAGACTGGGTATGTTCTGCCTGGGCAAGCTGGATCCAACTCACAGCGACCTCTGCTAGGGCATTTAAGGTAAGTGAAAATTTTTAAGGAGCTGTTTTACCAGTGCCAAACCCCCCCCCCCAAATCGCCATGAGCTTCCATGGCTGAGCGGGGAATTCGAACCCAAGCCTTCCGAGTCCTAGCCTGTCCCTCTCACCACGCTGAGAACAGGCAAAAACACAGTGGAAGCGCCCCCCCTTCCAACTGCCAAATCTCCCACTCCCCCTGATCCCTGCCCTGTTTTTCGTTTCCAGGTAAGAGGTCCCGAGCAGAATTCAAAACTCTGGAAGGGAAACGGCCGGCCCTGCAACCCCACAGCGGGCACTATCCGCCCCCCAATTCCCGAAACACGCGTCTTATCAGGATTCACAGGCTAAGCAGCGCCAGGTCTGCTTTCGGGTGAGGGTTAAGTCAGAGACCGGCAGGAAAACGCTGCCCAAGCTGGGGCATCAATCCTCCCTGAAACCGCTGCCGGTCAGAGCTGACATCCCTGGGGCTGGGAGGTCCGAAGGAAGGGACCCCAAAGGAGAGGCTTCTGCACCTCCCAGCCAGCACGGCCATCATCCTCATCATCCTCCCACCACCACCACGAGGGTACCCCGTCGTTTCTCCTTCGCCCCCTTTCGTTTTCGCCCTGCCCCCCCCTCCTCCTCACTTGTAGGTCAGGCCGTCTCCGCAGTTGAGCATCTGCTGCGCCGTGAGCCCGTCGTCGGGCACGTAGCCGGTGCCGCCGCTGATCAGGTAATCGGCCATGGTCGGGTCGACGCGTGTTGGCAGGCAAACAAACGCTCCGGTCCCGCCGCGTGGCCTCCCGCCTGCCTTCCTCTTTCTCTTCCCCTCGGCGGACCGTCAGGAGGAGAGTTCGCTGCCCTTGCGCCGCCCACAGGCCGCTCCCGCTCCCGCCGCCGCCGCCACCGCCACTCCTTCCCTCCCGCGACCTCCCGCCGAAAAGAGAGCGGCGCCGGCGCCGCAACAGAGAAGAGAGCGGAGCGCGAGCTAAACCCCGCCCCTTTTGTGTGACGTAGACGACAACTCCCACGAGGCTTTTCTCTCCGCGATCGCTTGTGGATCCACGCCCCTTTGGTGTCGTGACGGTGGCCGAGTGGGATCAAGACGAGAGGGAATTGTCATAGGGGTGATCGCGTTCGTTACCTCTCGCCTCGTTCCTTCCTTAGTTGCCCCAAGAATAAAGCAAGGAGAGTCGTTCCTGCTTTCTTGGCCTTGATTTATGAAGGCGTTACAGAACGCCCATTCAGGAAAAGCAGTTTTTCTTTCGGAGCACTTTATAACTGGAACACAGTTCTCGAACTGCGAGTTCGTTTTTGTTTTTATCTTCAGCTGAAGCAAAAAAGAAAAACCTGCCACTTACATCCCGCCCCACAGCCCCTAAAAGCACTCTCTGGGCTGTTTGCAATTTAATAAAGCAGGCTATATATTGTCCCCCCTCCCCCCAGCCAGCTGAGTACTCGAATTAGGGACCGCGAAAGGATAGAAGGCTCAGCCAACGTCTGAACTAGTGGGATCGAACTCGGGTCGTGAGCAGATTCTTCACTGCGGTACTGTAGTGTAGCCACAGCTGCCCCTGTAACTACTGTGTATGTCATGATTGCTTACTTGGATGACATGCCTTTCCTTCCAATAGTGACCGGAGTCCAAGGGAGGAGCAAACTCTGGTTGCAGGGCTCTTTCCCCCCCTAGCACCACCTTCGGTTAGGACAAGAAAACGTAAACTGTCCTTGACACAAATGTGTCCATACATTAACATTTCTCAATGAAACTCCCTTATTTCTGTCGCACTAACAAAATGCCGCTGTTAACTTCTGGAAGAAAACAGCCCCAGGATGGAACAGCCCTGGAGATGCGGAAGAGCTACTGTGTTTGCTTAACCACATGATTCACCCGTGCACTTCAGAGTAATATCTATATTCCTTTCTTTTTAAATTCATCACCAGCTTCTGGGATAGAATGAGGCACAATGAGCTCACCCAAAAGGAGCATTTATACTCCTTAATATGTAACTTAATTGTGCAGATGTATCTTTCCTGCTGTCCAGAAGATGTTTCAAGCCGGCACCCACAAGCGTAAAAGTGAAAAAACTCTTCCATTTCTGTTTGTTTTTAAAGACCTTCATTTTAAAAGGGTTTCAAGAGTTCCTCCGTTTTCTAAAGAGCTGCTGTGAAAGGCAGACTTCAAAGGACATCATGAATGAATAGAACACACACAGGCAAACAGAAAAAATCCAGTGGGAAAATTATTTCCAGAGCAATTCTTCTACTTTAAAAAAAATAATCAATTCCCTTTAAAAATGTTTTCTTGAAAAGTGGACTTTTTTAGAAATATGTGTGGATAGAATGTCCTAATAAGTTCTCATTTGTTGTCAAGTGGTGCCAATCAGTATAAAGGGAGAGGAATACTTTCTGAATGAACCCAGTAATGGTTGGGAATATCAAATCTACTTTTGTTCATTTGACCAACACACCACACATTATCAAACATCAGTTTTGCAGACTGCATAGTAACAAGACCTGAAATAGTTTTAAGATGTTGCACTAAAACTCTCACCAAACAGATTGGATATTAAATTTGCAAATGTGGTTTAGCATAAATGTGAAATGATGCTATCTACTAATTTGAAATTTACTGTGACTCTATGAATTAAAGATAACTAAAAGCCCCAGTCAAGCCCAAGCTCTGCCTGGGTCTTGAAAACTAGATACTGGTTTTGTTTATTGAGTTAATTTATGTTTGGTCTTCTTTTCTTACTGCCTTCAAGTTCTCTTTCCCAATAGTATTACCTTTCCCAGAGAGTCTGGCATTTTCATTGAGGCCCTAACATCCCTTTCCTTCTCAGTTCTTCCTTGAATCATGCCATCTTGGTTGGCAATATGTTGTTTGGAATTAATTGCTTTAACTATGTCTTTGACGATTTTATGCAAGTCATATTGTTGTGTTTTTATCCATGTAAGCCGCCCCAAGTAGACATTGTCTAGGGGGTGGGTAAAAATCTAAGAAATAAAGTCATTGCTGAGCTTAGACCCCCCCATCTCTTATGTGAAGTTTGACTGGATGGAGAGATGGATATATACATATATACACAAATGTATGTTTATTCATACTACCATTCTTTGGATGCACAATGGGGCAAAAACAGACATAATGTGCAAGGAAAGGGATTTAGGGTTGTGTTGAACAGCTTGACAAAAACAGTGACCAAGGATATAGCTTAATTTAAAAAGAGCAAAATGCAAGTTAGGGTCCATCAGAAAAGAATTAAAAATAAAACTGTCAATGGAAAAGTACCTACACATGTAACTGTGGTGCAACCACACATCAAATGCTCTATACAGTTGTATCACACTTCATTAAAAACACAAGAGCTCAAAATATGCAGAAAGGGGCAATCAAAAAGGGCCAGAACAAGGAGGAACATGACAAAAAAATGTATAAAATCCAGCATTTCATGGAGCATGTAATGCTAGAACCAAGGATCATTCAATCACATCAAATGTTAGGCAATTCAGAATGGATAAAATATGCCCACATTCTTAAAACTGAGTTCACTACAAGATGTAGTGATGACTGCCATACTGGTTAGCATTAAAAGATTAGGGAAAGACATGGAAAAGCTTTCAGAATGGGTCAAGTATCAGATCCAGTATGTCCCAGTAGTTTCTGGGGAATATAACTGAGTGTGTTATTGTATTCATGCTCTTTATAGGATAACCGTAGTTATCTGGCTAGCCACTACATGGACAAAACACAAATATGCCATTGGTTTAATGCAGCACACCTCTTCTTAATTCTCAATAGTAAAGGGCAGCTATTACCAATCTCAGCTGAAACAGTTGCAACCATTCCTGGGGAGGAATAAAGTGATCCATGAAATGGAAACTCAAACTACTATACAGTAATGTGCTGTGTGAGGCTTCTTTTGGAGGCTGTAAATACAGTAGTGCAGAACACAATAGCCAGGCTACTTAGTGATGACTTCTATGTGCATGTAACTTTGGTGCTGAAAAATAGGCACCGTTTCCCAGTTGAACCAAGCTGGTTTCAAGATGTTGCCTTAGCTTAAAAGGCCCTAATTAGCTCAGGACCAGGGTGTATAACACTTTGTACGTATTTATATCCCTTTCCCAATGGGAGACAGCAGTGATGAAGCAGTTCTGCTCACTGCTCCATGGTTTAGTGAGCTGCATTTGGCAGCAATCTGGAAGAGCTTTCTCTCTTGTAGTGCCAAATTGTGTTATCCAGAACTTTTTGTAAGTGTTACAGTGTCAGTGACCCATGTTTTAAAAAGTTTTTGAAGTTACACTTAGTCTTCGCAAGTGTATCAACCAGAAACACAAAATCTCACTCTGTATATACTTTGTCTGAAGAAATGACTTATTCCATGAAAGCTTACATTAAAATATAGCAGTCTTTAAAGTGTCACGTCTGTCTTCTTTATTTTTTGCTTTTGTTTTATTTTGTGTTCCAGGTTTATAATTAACCATCTCAATGGATTCTTTTTTGCTTGTAATCTACTGATGTTATTCTGTTTGTTTCTATGGTAAACTGCTTGGGGATTTTTTTAAACAACAAGAAGTGGCAATTTTGAAGTAAATACACATACAATATTCTTTTAAAACTCTGCTTTTAAGTTCCACCTTAGTTGAGATTTCTACAAAGGTCACTTTGACTCTTTCATTTCATACAACTTTATACTATGACTTAAGGCCAGTTCCCCACCCCCAGGTGAAAATAATTGCATGGCTAAGCTGCCTTGCAACAACAGTCATTTGCATGACACTTTACATCTGTATTCCCTCTACCTTTACAGAGATAGTTCTTGGGGGAAGGTTTAGGTAAGAAGCAAGAGTCTTATTATTTCAGTTAAACAACCTGAAGAAAATACAGTGGAATGGCAGAAAATAATGCCATTGCTGTTTTGAATTCTGCCAAAACAAATTGTATTTTAGCATCTAAATATTCTATATTTACATTCCAATTAAACTGTGCAATATAGCTAGCCTCATATATTGACATAAATCTGTTACAAAACATTTTGGGAAGAATAAGGTTCTATCCAACCACATGAATTAATCTGATTTGAACTTCAGACGTAAAAGAGGCATTAAGAACCCCTTTGCTGGAATCCTGTTGCTTCACATACCAACAACCAGAATTTGTTATGTTATGCGCTATCAAGTCAGAACTCACTTAAAACAACCCTAATCGGGCTTTCAAGGTATGAGATATTTTAGGAGAGATTTTACCACTTCCACACACCCAGTGAGCTACCATACTTGAGCAGGGATTCAACCTGGGCCTCCTGAGTCCCAGTCCATAAGTCTATTCACCATATCATACAGGATATCATAACTACTAGAATAGGCCCACTGAATAGTAGGATCTGGAAAGTCAACTCCTATGTAAATTCCACTGATTCAATGGGCCTACTCTAGTTGTGACTTACTATGCTAAGCAAAAGGATTTCAGCCTATGTATGGCACAAGATATAGTATACTCTTATCATGAAAAGTATAGACGAGCCCTGGACAGTAATTTTTCTGAAGAGAAAAAGCACTGTTTGGTGAGATTGTCACATTTTCTATCTTTCCTGATAGTCTATTCTTCTGCTTAAGTAGGAAAGATACTTGCACTGACTTTCCTTTCTTTCCCAGTCTGCATTGTTACCAATTGCCCTTGTTTACACTCAGTTCAGGAACTGGGTTGGAAAGCCTTTTCTGCTAGCAACTACAGTTTTATAAAAACTCTGACCCCCACACCCATTCTCCTCAGTCACATGTTACCACCCTCTGCCTAAAAGGGAAGGAACTGACAATCAATGCTGTATTACAAAAACCATTCAGTTTTTAGCTTCTAGCCAATCAAGAGCTGTCTAAATATCAAAACTTCCACTAGGACAGAATTAGCATATAATTGCCATGATCCAACTTGTGTTACTGAAAGAATGTCTGAAATCCTGTTGCCATGTAGCAAGTCATAACGGAGTCAGGCTCAGTGAGAATCAGTAGGGACAGCTCCTCTGTCAGTTCCATTTATTCAAATAGCCCTACTCTAGTTGCTACTTACTTCAGTGTAGTAAGTCACAACAAGAGTTGGTCCATTGGATCAGCATAATTTAGAGCAGCTGACTCACTATATCCCTTCTGATTAAATAGGCCAACTCCAGCTGCCACTAACTAGGTAAGCAACAAGATTTCAGTCACTGTAAATCAAAATCATCTGCCACAGGCCATTTATTATGGAAAATAGAGAGGAAATGAGTTGCAGAATGACATGCTCCTAGCTTTCTCCAATTTAAAGTTATATGCAATTGTTGCAATGAAACAGAAATACTCTCTAACGAATTGGCCAGCCCACAAATAAAACCAGTTCTCACAGGCAATGCCAAATCCAAGCAGAAAGTCTGTAAACAGACCACAGGAACACAAGCTAACACAATCTAAATCCTAATTTAATATGTACATCTATAACAGGTCTGTTTCTCTGTTTGGGAATTTGAAAAGGGAATTTTCTTTGTCTCAATTATTTGTAGTATCCATTCCAAGGTCACTTAATCCAAAAATACTTTGCAGTTAGTTACTATGAAAATAACAATCAAACAGCAAATAATTTCTAAGAATTAACCAGTGTGTCACTCATTGGTGCAGCACTGTCTGTAGTGTGATCAAACCTTTCTGAAGCTCTCATAAATAAAGACACGTTGTTCAATAGTATGTTGAAAAGACGTGCTCGTCATTCTTAATAAACAACTAGCGTAAGAATACATAAGAGAAACAGGGTGGTATCTTTATATGATACACAAGTGTATGTTACAAGAATTCCATCAGGCACAGTAGCCTCAAGGTTTTAAGGCCTCAACATCAGGCCAAAAAGAGAGAAAGAAAGAGAGAGAGAGAACTGTGGTAGTTTGCACTTAACATCTAAAAATGTCACTTTTAAGGTTTTAATAGAAATTGATTTTCTTCTTCTTCTTCTTAATCGTAATTGCAGGACACTCTTCTCTTCCCTCCAGGACATGTCAGTGTGGGCACAAGGAAACTGCTAACTGTTTCTCCACTGTTTTCTGCTCTTTCCAAGTGCATGGGCACCACACGTGTGGCTCAGCCCAGCCAAGTTCCTCAATTAAATTTGTTTTATCCACATCATAAAAAAACCCAAGCCAACCTACAGCACCCCACAGTTTCCGAAGACAGAATGCAGCCCTCAATGTGTCCAGAAGGCTGATGCAGTTGGGTCAAATACACAATGGGAAGGGTCTCTTTTTAAACAGAAGAAGCCTAAAAGGGCTTCATACCTACACCAATTAAAAAAAACAAAACAAAACAAACTTAGGCATCTCCTTTAGTGTAAAAGGCTGTACAACTGATCCTGGCCCTCCTGGCCTGCCCTCCCACCCTTCCCCATCATCTTCACCCTTTTTCCGAGTGGCAGGGATGCCTTAGTGCATGGTGCTGACATTTGCCACAGCAATAGCTTCCTGAATCTCTCGTATCACTAGAATTCGGGTAAGCATCTGCTCCATTTGCTCTCGACTGATTGGCTGGATCGAATACCAGATTGGGCTGTTGGGAGCCACCACTGGTTCAGGAGTTAAATAAAATGTGTCATTCCGGCCTTTCACACTCTGAGGGCTGTGGAAAGCAAGAGGAAAGAAGGGAAAAGACATACAGAGAGAAAATAGTTATTTTTTTTTATTTGAAAAAGTATTGGCAGTAAAAATTGATGTACTTCACCTGTACTAGTACAGGATCCTGTGCGCTGAACATGGCATAGAAGTATATGCAAAACATTTCAACGTCTATTGTACAACTGGATGTGTTTGTTCAAATTAAAAATAGTAAGGCAAACTGGACAGTGCTTCTACAGAGTACTGCCTGAGTCTTCTACACATCATTTTCTCCTGATTTCTACTACCCGACTAAGCATGGGACTTTTGGATTTCTTGGACTTCTGGCCCAGAATTCACCAGGAAACAAATTCCCCCAGCCAGAATTCTAGGGGCTTTAGCCAAGAAATTAAAATCCTCACAGGAGTTCTCTATACAGGTAGTGAATCAAGGTTCTATCATTACTTCCCTGTGAAGGGGAAAGGAGCATGACTTCAGACAAATACGGAGTACATATGAAATACCTGATATGCATACTTTATTTTCAAAGAAATGAAGTGTTTGTCTTATACCAATATGGTTCCATCCGATCTGACAAGTGCAACAGGGCAGTTCCAAGCTACTTAGAATTCATCAAATCCTTGAACTGGTGTAACGGGGGCAAAGTGATATTTTTCTCATTGACAAAAAAGTATGGTATTGGCTTATCACTTTACACATGATGCATGTTTTACCTGCCTTCCAACAACTGTTCTATATAACAGTTGCATACAGTCCATGCAAAAAAATACAGACTACCTTCAGGCTGATCATAAATGAGTATTTGTCCTCTGACTCTGGATGATGATGATGATAGGAACACTTACCATTTGAAGAGGTAGAAGTCATAGAGCTTTATAGGACACCTTAAGGGATTCTCTGGGTTCTCCGTCTGCTCTGCATACATGTCATCTGTAACTGGAAATCAAACCCAGCAGTACAGAACCGTCAGAAACTTTGCAAAGGAAGCCAAGCATAAGCAGTAATGATTTTCATGCTACAGATTGACAGGTTACTGTGAAAAAACACACCTTCTACGGCCTGTGGTATTTTGGGGAGTTCTGTTTATTGCCAAATTCATATACAGCTCAATGAAGCAGCTATCTGACTGTGGAAACAGAGGTTGAGAGTTCTGTTCCCCAAAGAGCCAGCCTGAGTAGCCTTGGGCAAGGCTACAGTCCCAGGGCTCCCATAGAAGATTAGAATTATAAACCACTTCTGAGTACTCTCTAACTAGAAAAATCTTGAAAAGCATCATCATAAGTCAGAACCAACTTGATAGCACATGATATATGTTTAGTTTCTATACAATTTATAAAAAGATGTAGGGGGCCCATCTCTGCAAAATTAAAAACCAATCTAGGAACAATCAAACCTTCAACTTTTTTGCCAAAATCTGTGACAGTGCCATTTGGCAAAATGAAAACCACATTGAACTTTTAAAAGGACCTATGATAAAACGAGATGGTTGGACAGTGCCATTGAAGCGACCAACATGAATCTGACCAAACTCCGGGAGGCAGTGGAAGACAGGAGGGCCTGGCGTGCTCTGGTCTATGGGGTCACGAAGAGTCGGACACGACTTAATGACTAAACAACAACAATGATAAAAGAAAAATACAAGGCAAGGTAGCAGGCAAAACCTTGGTGCCATCTCAAAGGTAATGCATATCTAATGCCTGCAGGAATGGTTATATACAGGTAATTAATATACTAATTTCTAATCACACACAAGTAGCTTTGATGTATATAATTAAAGCCAGTAATTTACCAATACATTTACCTATAGAAAATAATTGTATCAGCAACACCAAAGACAGAAGGGCATCTGCTTGATCTTTTTAAAATAGGCTGCTTGCCTGTTTTAAAATGCTTTCCACACTCGCTCATGTCAGTTCCATTTCTGGTTTTATTCTGCATAGTTCTGATGAGATTTTTTAAATTGGAAATATGATATAAAAATTCTAAGTAAATACTTCAGATATTGTAAGACCACTTTTTTTTCATCCTGCAATTTTAGAACAGTATGTATAAAAAGAGAACTGCAAAACAATGTGATTAGCAGGGGAAAAAAAATTTTTTCTGTATTAAGTTCTATATCAAGTTCTAACCTTTCTGACCAGCTTGGTGTATGCCAAGTGCCTTCAGATATCGGATGCTCGTGCTCTTATCCTTGGGATTGGAAGGGTTCTTCTTTGTTTGTCTCAAGACTTTTGAAAAGGCCAGCTTCATATGCTGGTCTACTGTTTTCAATAGGAAGTATCTGAGTAGCAAGAAGATACAAGTTGCGCATTAAAACACTACATTCTTTTCTCCTAACAATGAATAAACTACCCTTTTTCCCACCACATGCCACAGGCTCATAAAATCCAATACTATGTTTGCACTTAGATCATTTTAAAACAAGTACATGCTAAGCTACTTAATTTCAGCCAACACAGTGGCACCTTCAAGATGAAACTGCATAGTCTGTGCAGGTGAGTGTTATGTGACATAAAGTGGTCACATAAATTCATTGAGAATATGTCTATGCATGTCTGAAACAACTTGATGGTTTGTCATGAGAGCAACATCTCTGTCAGTGGCTTCAATATCGGCCTAAATGGCATCTCCATGATATAGGGCAGAATCCTTTGAAACCAAATGCCAGGGAGGGGGTCTGAATGAAGATCTAGTGTCACTCGGTGATTGCTTATGAAAACAAAATGCTGGACTGAACAACTGCTACATTTTTGTCATGCTTTATACTAAAGCACTGTACACATGCATTATCTTAGAAACTTGCACAACATCCCACTAAATCAAGTCAGTACTATCATACTCATATTACAGCCAGAAACCAGCAGGACGGCTTGTATCCACAATGTTGGTATCCAACCCTGATAAAACTAAGATTTCCTTCTTCTCCCTCTGTGTTTAGAGAATTTTTTAGCTCTCTGAAGCAGTATTTAGAGGTGTATGAGGGGCTCCAGTGGGGCCACAGATTCTGGCAGAATCCAGCACAAGTACACGAATGGATGCTGGCCTACAGATTGACAGCTAAGGGCAAGGCAGAAGTTCCCTAAAATCCCCTGGCAATTTTATGGAAAAGGCAAAACGTTAACCGGCACCTTGCTGCTTCAGAGGTTTGTCCTATAATAACTCTTTTACACTACCTTTGGATGCACTTCAGTTTGATCCATTAAGGTAATTTTTATCTGTTAAGTCTTTATTGCTGTGCCCCATATATCACAATTTGGGGTCACTGTATAGTATGTTTCCACCTTTTTAAAAACAAATCCTACAGTTATGATGAAGAAACTTCTCAATTAGTACCTACTTTGTGTTGAAAAACATGAGAGTAGTCAGCAAGGTGGCAGGGGAGTGAGCTCCTAGCTGCTTGCACTCCCATAACATTTCTTCTGTCACATGGCTTGGAAGAACATAGCCTGTGAAGACCAGAACGTAAGAATAATTGAAAACAGGGAAAGCAAGCAAGGTTTCCACTCACCATCCCATGTTTTCATGAGGGAGAACAGTCAGAATTTCTTCTCAGCTTTGCACCAATTTGACTAGCAACCAAATAGCAATTATTCAGAATATAAATTTCAGTTCATAACATCTAATTAGTCTAGCTAAGTATTTAGTCAATGATTCTATTAAATACTTCAAAAATATAACTACACAAATAGTAGAAGTTCTTCACATTAACTTATTACAACAACAACTGTAGATTGAAAAAAAAATCTCTCACCAAGAGGAGTGACCCGGGGCTGCACATCTTTGAGAACTTCATGTAGCCACTCAGTGAACCGTACATAATACAGATCAGAGAAGATATCATCAACTCGTCCATTTTCAAATAGATACTACAAAACACAGCAAAACAGACAAGACAAAACCATCTCTCCATTATTTTAATTCTCAGAAATGAAAAAAGAGAGGTTCCTTACCTGTAACCATGGTTCTTCGAGTGGTCCTCTGTGAATCCACAAGAATGGGTTAAACTGCACCTGCGTAGGACTCTTTGGAATATTCTAGAGTTTAATAACTGACCTATTTGTGTACACAGAGACCACGAAGAAGAACCAAGAACTTTCAAGAAGCGACTTAAAACAGAATTGTTTAATGCTGCCTTTTGTTAACGTGTCATTTAATGTCCAACTTTGTTTAAATTTGTTTACTTATATCAGAGTCACTGGGTCATATGTTTATTGTTATTGTTGTGTTATTTGCAGCTTCTATATGTTGGTTGTTCACCCAGAGAGTGTGTATCATAGTATTGGGTAGTATGTATGTTAAATAGGTAGGTAGGTAGGTAGGTAGGTAGGTAGGTAGGTAGGTAGGTAGGTAGGTAGGTAGGTAGGTAGGTAGGTAGGTAGGTAGGTAGGTAGGTAGGTAGGTAGGTAGGTAGGTAGGTAGGTAGGTAGGTAGGTAGGTAGGTAGGTAGGTGACTTTGGCTCTCTGTGCAGATTAAAATTTTAGGATTTTGGAAGAGAAAGTTTAGAAGATCTCCGACCTCCTGATAACAGTAACTTTAAGAGAAGCAAAACTCACAGACCAGCAATATCTTTAATTAAACAAACTAAAATACAAAAAAAGTGTAAGCCTTCAGATTTTCCAGAATTCTTCATCAAGCTAAATGGTACAGTAAATGGGAATGGAGTTAGAGGAGGAAGCAGGGAAGACCAAAGGTCTGGCCAGATATTGTTGTAGTTTGATGTCTGTTGTCTTTAGTGGGGCTATTTACACAATGAAACAGCACCCCTACTTTACGTAAGTCAACAACACAAGACTTAACATGTAAAATGCTTTAATATACACATTATATATATTTCAGGAAGGATTTCAGTTTTGTAACAGTTCAACTGAACTGATGCAAAAAAATTTCCCCCAAAGGAGTTACAGTTAATTATCTGAAAATAATAAAGACTGTCAAAGCAGATTATGGTATACCACAGCTAGGTTCATGTTTGAATGCCCTCATTTTCTTAAAACATATGTCAGTTTACATAATCTATCTGTATGTGTTTGAGATGAACAGCGCCTTAAATTAGCTGGAGGTTGTGTGTAGAAGACCCGTGTTTTGTTCACTTTGTAGCTTTAGTTCTTTTCACCAAATAAGTACAACTGAACATTAACCACTGTACAGTGGTGCCTCAACTTATGAACGTCCCTACTTATGACCATTTTGACTTACGAACAGCTCTGGTCGCAAAATTTTGCTTTGACTTGTGACTGGAGCTTTGACTTACAACCAGAAAAAAAAACTGGGGAAGGCGTGGAAAGTGGGAAATTTGAACTGCTTTCAGTTAACCGTTGGTCAGCAAAGGGGCTGCTTCTCTGTACCTCGTTCAATAGAGTGGTTAGAGAGTGTGGATATGGAGAGACACTTCCGACTGCCTGGTACTGTCTGGTACTGTACTGTCTGGTACTGTACTGTATTTTTTTTGCTTTTTTTAATTTTGCTTTTTGGATTTTTGACTTTCTTTTTTAAAACAGAGACTGCCTGTTCTGGGTGAGTACATACTGTATTTACTTTACAGGGTTTTTGAAGCGTGGGTTTGGGCTAGGTGGGGGGGTTATGTTTCTGTGCTCTGATGTGTATTGCAGTATGGGTTTAAAATGTGAAAATTTGACTGTAATTTTAAAATGTAAAATTTATTTATTTACTTTTACATTCTGTGGCTCCTAGGATTTGTGTACTGTGACCTCTCTTTTGTTTTAAAATATGTGGGTTTAAAATGTGACTCCAAAGTCATTTTTTTAATCAGAAAATTTTATGTGAGGGACTGTGGTTGCAGGCGTGGTGTAAAATAGGGCTTAGACTCAAGTGTCTCCTCCCCCTCTCTCTCTGCTCTCTTTTTGTGCTGAGGGGAGTCTGTTTGCTGGAATAATGGCTGCTGGATTCTGTGGCTCCTAGTGTTTGTGTACTGTGACCTCTCTTTTGTTTTAAAAGTGTTGGTGGGTGGGATTAAAATGTGTTTGGTTTTAAAAAGGTGTTTGGTTTAAAAGGTGTTTTAGACTCCAAACTCTTCCCCCCCCCCATTGTCTTCTCTCTCTCTCTGTCTTCTCTCTCTTCGTGCTTCACAGCACAAACCTTTGTCTGAGGGGTCTGTGTGCCCCAGTGATGACCTTCTTTCTTTCCTCTTTCCCCCATTGTTCCCTTCCTCCCTCCTTTCCTGCCCTTTTTTAAACCCAAATCATCTTAGGTTTAAAGAAGAAAATTTCTCTCCCTAGTGGTAGAGGACGGATTAACTGCTTTTGCATTAGTTCCTATGGGAACAAATGCTTTGACTTGCAACGGGCACCTCTAGAAACAACCAAAAAACAGCCAGAACGGATTAATCAGGTTTCAATGCATTTCAATGGGAAATGCTGCTTTGACTTAGAACCATTTCGACTTACGACCATCTTCTGGAAAGGATTATGGTTGCAAGTCGAGGCACCACTGTACATACATACAACAGAAGTCAAAACAAATCATTCTTATGTAAAATACTGAAAAAAAAAAAAGCTCAACCGTGCCTTACCTACCCAATAAATGTATAAGAATCCTCTCTGTTACAATGGGCAAAATCCTGTTACTTAGTGTAGTAAATTGCAATAGAGTAGGCAATTGAGTCAATGGGGATTTGGTGATTCAACTCAATAAGCTTCATTGATTCAAACCGACTATTCTAACTGTAACTTAAGTAGATTAATTTGAATCAATTGAACTTAGAGGGGTTGACTCATCAAATCATTGGTTCAATGTGCCTGTTCTAGAGTGATTTACTATGCTAAACAACAAAACTTTGGCTAATATACTGTTTCTCCAAAACTAAGACCTAACCTGAAAATAAGCCCTAGTAAGATTTTTCAGGATGCTCATAATATAAGCCCTACTCCCAAAATAAGCCCCAGTTAAGTGAAACCGCACCCTCCACCATTGTGCAGCAATCAGAAGATGACACAACTGTAAATTAAACATCCCCTGAAAATAAGCCCTAATGCATTTTTGGAGCAAAAATTAATATAAGACCCTGTCTTATTTTCGGGGAAACACAATATATATGCAGTACTACAGTATGGCTGTTATTTGAAGTAAGAGTTTCCATGACACCATACCTTTTGAATACATAGGAAAATGTAGTATAAAACATCTGGATCATAAGGCTCGCCTTCAGTGTTTCGAGCTTCACGAGTCATTAAGCATAGTCCATAATTCAATTCTGCTACAGCTGAAGATATGAGATCTTCCTGGAATCTCAACAGCTGACGTCCTGCAAATCATGACATATAGGGTCATCAGCTGGCATTTTTCAGCAGTTTTTTCTATATGTGGCTGTGTCTTCTCTGTCATCCTCCCAATAAACCTATTCCTATATTTCAAAGGAGACATTTATCCAAAGTACCCAACATCCTTGACCAAAATCCCAACATCTACTTGAAAATACACTTTTAAAATCAGAATTTTTAAAATGTTCTAAATTTATCTTAAATAATAATTAGTTTACTGTTAAATAACTGCAATATAATCACATTACCTCTACAGTTAATCATTACATTGAACCAGTGCCCTCTAACTTGATAAAAGGGATAAAGAAAGAATTTTCTATGGAAATAGTCAATTTAATCATTTTTCAAACAAGCACAATATTTAAAGTTACAAAATTGAGATATTTCCAAATGCCACTGTTTCAATTTCCCTTGATGAAAATTTATTTATTCTTTATTTTATCAATAAATAAAAATAAGAAGAAAAACTGCTGTAATCTCTCTACCCTAAATGCCTGAACAAAGTCAGCCACAGGCATTACTATTACAATTACAACTGTCACCATTGCTTCTATTATTTCCACTGTGTTTCTGGAAACACAGACAGATCAAGACAGAGTGATTTAAAATTTAAGTCAATCCATTCTGCAGCAAAGAACAACTCCCTGTATGCAAAGTATATTGCGAATTTTAGAACAGTGGACTCTCCTTCACTGATGAAGGCAAGAGGTTTGAGAACAGGGTATCAAGAGACAATGCAACAGCCAAATTACTACTACAGATTGTTAAATGGGGTTGGTCTCAGGGATTATATAACACCGGATACAGCAGCTTCACAGGTTGCTAATCTGTTTCCAGGCACAATTCAAAGTGCTGATTGTGATCTACAAAATCTTCAGTGATTTGGGTCCAATGTAAGAGTGTCTTCCTATATTACCCTGCCATTCTTCTGGTCCCACCACACTCACAGGTGCATTTAGTGAGGACATGAGAAAGGACTTGTGTTGATGCTCTCAAACTAGGGAATTTCCTCCCGCAGGAATCTAGGCTGCCCCTTTCCTGTCCTTCCACAAGCAGGCAACAACCTTTCTCTTCAGGCAGCCTTTTAGTCACCAGCTTCTTAAGAGCTTTTTTAAAAAGGAGGGCTGTTGTGTTTTTGTTGTTTTAAATATATTTTTAGAACTCTTGTTATCTACTAGTTTTAATATTAGCTGAACTCCTGTTGCTCAGCACAGTACAGTGGTGCCTCAACTTACAAATGTCCCGACATAAGACCATTTCAAGTTACGACCAGCTCTGGCCACAAAATTTAGCTTCTACTTGCGACCGGAAGTTCAAGTTATGAACAGAAAAAGGCAGGGAAAAAAGACAGGGAATTCAAATTGCTAACCATTGGTGGCGAAGAGGCTGCTTCTTTGTAGTTCTTTCGGCCCAGCAGTTAGAGAGTGTGTGATCTGAGGAGGCTTCGGACTGCCTGGTAAGGTAAGGTGCTCCTTTCTGCTTTTTAAAAACTGTTCAGGGTGGGTTTTGTAGTGTGGTTTTGAGCTGGGGGGGTTATGTTTCTGTGCTGTGATGGGTCTTGCAGTCCTTGTTTTTTGGGGTTTTTTTTCTCGTTTCCTATGGGTCTTGCAGGATTTGTTTGCTTCCCCCCCTTTTCCGATGGATCTTGTACGGTTTGTTTGCTTTTTGCTTTGCTTTTTTTGCATTTCCGATGGGTCTTGCACGGTTTCTTTTCTTTTCTTTTTTATTTTCCCTTCGGCTGGAATGGATTGTGTTTCCGATGGGTCTTGCAGTGTTTTCTTTTGTGTGTTTTGTTTGTGATTTTTTTCCTTCAGCCAGAACGGATTACAGTGGTGCCTTCACTTATGACCATAATCTGTTCCAAAAGACAGGCGTAACTTGAAATGGTCATAAGCACTATTTCCCATAGGAACGCATTGAAATGCAATTAATCCGTTCCGGCTGAAGGAAAAAAATCACCCCCCCCCTAAAATCACTGCAAGACTCATTGGAAACGTGATTAATCCATCCCAGCCGAAAGGGGGGGGAAGCAATCAAGTGCGCAAGACCCATTGGAAATGCAGAGAAAACAAATGGAGCAGATCAGAAATGCACAGAGAAGGAAAAAGCAAGAGAAGCATGCACGGCCCATCAGAAATGGGGGGGACAGCCAAAAAACAAACAAAACCCCCAAGACCTACCGGAAATGGGGGGACCAAAAAAACAAACAAACTCCCAAGGCCCATCATAGCACAGAAACATAACCCCCCAGCTCAAAACCACGCTGCGAAAACACCAAGAAGTTTTTAAAAAGCACAAAACAGCACCTTACCTTACAAGGCAGCCCGAAGCCTCCCTGCAAGCACACACACACGCTCTCAGAAGCAGGAGGCAGTCCCAAGCCTCCAATAACAACGCACACTCTCTAACTGCTGGGGCGAAAGAGCTACAAAGAAGCAGCCTCGTCGCCACCTACAGTTAGCAGCTTGAATTCCCTGCCTTTTTTCTGTTCATAAGTGGAAACTTCGGCTGCAAGTAGAAGCAAAATTTTGCTGCCAGAACTGGTTGTAACTTGAAATGGTCGTAAGTAGGGATGTTCATAAGTCAAGGCACCACTGTAATTGCATTTTAATGCATTCCTATGGGAAATGGTGTTTCGACATACGACCATTTCGAGTTACAACCGGAGTTCCAGAACCAATTAAATCTGTAAGTTGAGGCACTTTATATTGCACTAAGATAGGCTCACTGAATCAATGGAACTTACAGAGAAAGTGATTCATTAAATCCTCACTGATTCAATGGGAATACATCAGGGCAATTCACCACACTAATCCAACATGATTTTGGCCTTTATATTTCCTTAATCCTTCTGAACGCTGTAATAATTTATGGGTTTTTAAAAACTTTTAGTATTGTTTGTTTTAATACTGTAAGCAGCCTAGGGTCCTCTGGAGGAGAAAGGTAGAGTACAAACAAACAAAATCTTTCAAAGCTTTGGTTAAATTGTATCAAAGAATGAGCAAATACCAAAAAATGAAAATAATTAGGAACATGTATAAACACTGCATACAAACTTGGCTTTAAAAAAGCTGGGGGCCTGGCTCTGCCTCCCCCTTCACCTCCTCCTCTTCTTCAGGCTGGCCGGCTTGTTCCTTCCCAGGCCGTGGAGGGGGAAGGGGGAAGAGAAAGAGCCCTGGCGCAGCTGGGGGCCTGGCTCTGCCTCCCCCTTCACCTCCTCCTCTTCTTCAGGCTGGCCGGCTTGTTCCTTCCCAGGCCGTGGAGGGGGAAGGGGGAAGAGAAAGAGCCCTGGCGCAGCTGGGGGCCTGGCTCTGCCTCCCCCTTCACCTCCTCCTCTTCTTCAGGCTGGCCGGCTTGTTCCTTCCCAGGCCGTGGAGGGGGAAGGGGGAAGAGAAAGAGCCCTGGCGCAGCTGGGGGCCTGGCTCTGCCTCCCCCTTCACCTCCTCCTCTTCTTCAGGCCGGCCGGCTTGTTCCTTCCCGGGCCATGGAGGGGGAAGGGGGAAGAGAAAGAGCCCTGGCGCAGCTGGGGGCCTGGCTCTGCCTCCCCCTTCACCTCCTCCTCTTCTTCAGGCCGGCCGGCTTGTTCCTTCCCGGGCCATGGAGGGGGAAGGGGGAAGAGAAAGAGCCCTGGCATGGCCGGGCGCCTGGCTCCACCTCCCCCTTCACCTCCTCCTCTTCTTCTTCAAGCCGGTTGGCTTGTTCCTCCCAGGGCGGCGGCAAGGGAAGGGAAAGGGCCGGGCGCCTGGCTCCCCATCTCCCGCTTCACCTCCTCCTCTTCCTCCTCTTCCTCTGGAGGCTACTTCTGAAATGCCCGCCGGCCAGCTGGGGGGAAATGCCAGCTGATCGGCGGTTCCAAAATGGCCGCCCGCTGTTTTCTGGACGGATTCCTCGCTTACCGAGGTGGCGAAAATGGCCGCCCCATGGAGGATCCTCACTGAACGGTGAGTTTTTGCCCCATAGGAACGAATTAAACAGGGTTTAATTAGTTCCTATGGGGGTTTTCTTTCCGTTTAGCGATGTTTTCGTACAGCGACGTTAATCCTGGAACAGATTAACGTCGCTATGCGGGGCACCACTGTATTTCGATTGCTCTTTAGAGAAATAATGGAGGGGGGAAATCAAAGTAATTTGATACTAATACTAGAAACAGAATAATCAGAATGAAGACCAGATACTTCTGTCATGGGGGTAAGTGGGGCATAAGCTGGCTGTTCAACCTTTGTGTGGCCAAGAACGCTCGAAATTGTCCACTATACTGGCCTACAGTCACTAGATTAGTTTGATGATGAACCAACCCAAACCCATGGAATTCAATAGATTATCATATGAAAACAAGGGGGGGACCCCAAAGATTCCTTCTGTTTCAAAGCTGCAGCAGTACTTTGTCTACTAAACTTACTGCCAATAGGTGCAAGCCTATTCTGTGATTCTTTCTCCAGCTCAGCGTTTTTAGTCTGTGCCCAGCTCTTCCACACTTCTAGTCCTTCCTCTGGCTTCAGAGAGTGTGGAAGGAGGAGTTCGGGAGAAGGCTGAGGCTGTGGCTGCTGCTCAACTTCTGCAACTTGAACAGTTTGAGCCTATGGGGAAAAAACAATTTCAAATCAAGTAGGTCAGCAAAGTGTGAGCAGATTTTCTGTACCGTATTAATATATAAATATGTTCTCCAAACTACTGAGCTTTTCCACCTTAAATAGTGACTTAAGTAGGAGAATATTATATTGTTATTTTTCTATCTATAGCTTTCATTTGGTCAAATGATTCTCAGGCAACTTACAAAAAGTTCCAACACATATGTATATAAACAAACATCAATCTTCATGGAAGGGGATGTTTCATACAAAAAGGATGGACTGATTTCAATACTGTATTTCTGAATCATGTGCAGTAAATCAAGGTAGGATTAGTAACTCCCTGTTGTTAACAGAAGCAACAATATGGCTTCTCAAACCCATCATACTGCTGAAGGACACCTGGGATAACTAGGAAAGGTGAACTGATTTCCATTTAGTTATGTTGCTCAGAACAAAACCTCAGGCACATTCATTAATTATAAACAACATTCCCACTAAGGTCCGCACGTGTGTGGTTGTACAGAGCTCCACTGGCACTGCACATGATTATGAGAGGGTATGTTGATTTTAAGTACATTTCTCAGCTAGTTCCAGTTGGTAGATCTTGGGAGTGTCAGTGGGGAGAAAAATAACTGCACAAGCATTAAAGTCTCCCCAACTAATATATAGTACATTTAATATTTTAAAATATACATGATATGCTCAACAGTTTCACATATTTTCCTATCAAATACCAAAATCCCTTAAATCCTGCAATGCCGTTTACCAATCTCACAGTCGTTTCAAACAAGATTTATAAAGTCAAATGGTATGCAGTGTTTCTGAGATGTTTGGAGACTGCTGCAGTCTCTTCAATGGATCTCTGTGTGTGGATGGAGGAATATAAGCACTTGCAAACATTTCATATAGAATTAAATACAGTGGTGCCTCGCTAGATGATGATAATCCATTCCACTGAAATCGCTGTTCAGCGAAATCATTGTCTAGTGAAAAGCATTTCCCCATTGGAATGCATTGAAACCTGTTTAATGCATTCCAATGGGGAAGAATCGACGTTGTCTAGCGAAGATCGGCCATAGGAAAGCTACTTTGTGAACCACCGATCAGCTGTTTAAATTGCTGTCTTGCGAAGCTTAAGGCCCGAAAACACCTGTTTGCGAGTGCGGAGGGAGCTGTCAAAACCATTGTCTGGCGAAAATTGGTTTGCGAAGCAGGGACCAAGCATTGTCCAGTGAAATTCCCCCATAGGAATCACTGTTTTGCGAATCGCTATAGCAATTGCAAAAAGCCAATGTCTAGCGAAAAAACTGTCATCTGGGGTAACTGTCTAGCGAGGCACCACTGTATAAATAACAAGTATACTTTTCTAACTACCTTTGTTGAAAAAGAATTCAGCTGAATCAGGATAGAAGACAGACTTGGCTACTACTCTTTAGAACTTTCCAGAGTTTTTTAAATCTGTTCTGGAAAAAAGTTTAAAATTTTGGTCCCAGGTAGGCTTCCCACTTCTACAAAGTTACAAAGGCTTGGCCTGGATGCCATTCTACTGAAACCAACAGAACCAGAACATTTATATTATTATAAATCACGTGTCTGCTTCCTGGCAATATTGCAGTTTGCTGCTAGTGCTTTCTTATGAAAGACATAGAATTAGTAACAATGCCTCAGGTGAAATAGTTAAGGCAACATAATGAGACATTTTGGCAGATCATGGTCAGTGGTCAGAGATTATGAAAGCAGTCCAACAACTCAAGGGCTGCAGGTTTTGGAATTCCAATATTTGCCATTTACAATCCTGCAATTGGATCTACATAGCTAGTTTCCAGACTCAAAGTGTGGGTGTTACGTAAGTCAAACTCTTGTGGTTTCCAGCTTTATTTTAAAAACTCATCTGATCTGTATACTCTATGTTTAAACTCAGTTCGGTGATACAATACTATATGAAATGAATATAAGCCATGCTAACAATTCAATCCGTAAACCTGATAAATTTTTTGAGCAGAGGATAACAATTTTTATCCATTTATAAAATATATAATTCCTTAATAATACAGTACATGCATTCACATCAGAAACGATATGACAATTCAGATATGGGACAATGTGCTTAATTTACTGACTTGCATACTTTAAAAAAAGTTTTTGTTTTCAGTGTGAGGCACACTGTACTAAACTGGGTTATGGCAGAGAGATAGCCATAACCTCATATAATCTACAAGGACCTACCTTCTTTTTCCATTACTTTTCAGTTCTTTTTGAATTGCACTTCTGCAGGAAACTTTTTTAAAAAAATAGGAAATCACAGAAATCACCATGAGAAAACACCAGCAAATTGCTATTTGTGGAAGCAGCCAATTACATCTAAACTAGGTCAATGTTTTTAGTACCTTAAATGCCAGCACTATGTGTATCCAATAATAAATATTAGGATTTTAAAAACTGCCCTCTGTTGGGAAAGAACAAAACATTAACATCTTAAGAAAAGGCAATTATTTACATCATCGTTATCAGGTTTGCCACAAGTTTCCCACTTTTCCAATAAAATACTTTCATACAGAAAACTTTTGCATTTGCCTAAATATCACTTGCTGTAAACATTTTAACAAATGTTTTGATCTTTTATAAACAAGATACACAGCATTTCAAATTTACAACTGCACTCTAATATTTGTCTTTGTTTCAAAAGACAAATAATAAAAAAACAGAATTCTGCACATGTTTATCATCCACAAAGCAAAGCGTGCTACTTATATACCGCCCCATAGTGCTTCAGCACTCTCTGGGGGGTTTACAAGTTAATTATGCAGGCTACACATTGCCCCCCCTCAAGCGAGCTGGGTACTCATTTTACCAACCTTGGAAGGATAGAAGGCTGAGCCGGCTACCTGGGATTGAACCCCAGGTCGTGAGCAGTTTTGGCTGCAGTACTGCAGTTTAACCACTGTGCCATGAAGCTCACAACATCCTATTGTAAGAACAAAAACTACAAAATTGTGGTGGGGGAGTATATAATGTTTCTTACCTTGATCAGAATACACTACCCACTTATATAAAGCTATATTTGAACCAAAACATGAGCTGAAAATTATCCACTTCACTGGACAATAAGGATGGGCACCACGCCCCTAAGGAATCCTGTGGGCCATATGTGCAGATTTACATTTGCAACATTCCCTACTATTGCAGCTGCTGCTACCACAAAATCTCCAGCAATTCTCTCAGTTGGAGAGCAAGTCATGCACTCCTTGTGTTCTTATGATTTTTGTAGTGACGGCAACCTCACAAATGAAGTGGGCTATTTCAACTGGATTTAAAGCACAACAGTGGGTCCCCATGAGTACTTGGAATTTGCCCAAGTCTTCTATATGACATCTTATTCTCCCAAATACATATAACAAAAGAACTGGCATACCTAACAGAATGTGTGAATTTTGCATTTAAGTAAGCACAAACACTCAGAAGCACCTGAGGAAGAGTTAAATGAAAACCTACTCTTCTGATGACAGTCCATTACTGGCAATTTCAACAGAATGTCCTGTTCCACCATTTCCCCCTTCATTCTCTTCCCACATCATCTGATATATCATCAATTCATTTTGAAGGAAAATCTCATCCCTTTGGGTGTGTTGTTATTAAGATGGCAAAACAGAATGCCCACAATGGTAGTAAAAGCTTCTGAAACAACTTGATAAAGAAAATGTTGTAAAAGAAGCCCAAATATATATCAGTCTTAAGAGAATTATGAACACATCTCAGATCCATCATTAAGGGGTTTACCCATCATTTCAGAAAATCATATGACAATGTGAATTGATTTTCTGAAAAATCTTACTCAAATAGAATTATTTAAAACCAACACTGTATTTTAGTAAGATGTTTGCTTTACTAAACTTTATACAGTGGGGTCTTGACTTAAGAACGGCTCGAGCTAAGAACATTTTGACTTAAGAACCACTCTCATAGGAAAATATTGACTTGACTTACATACTTAGATTTGAGTTAAGAACTGAAAAAAAACCACGTGGGAGGCAGGGAAAGTGCAAAATTTGAACTTTCAGTTAACTGTTGGCCAGTGAAAAGGGTGCCTGTCTGCTTCCTCACTCCTCCCAGCGTTTAGAGAGTCGATTGGGAGACAGTCTTCGGACTGCCTGGTACTGTACTGCCTGGACTGTCTTTTCCCTGCCTTCCCTGAACCTTTCTTGACCTAAGAAAAAAAGAAACAAAATATCCCCCTTTAGTGGTCGAAGGCAGAATAGCAGCTTCCCATTAGTTTCTATGGACGGGAAAGAGCAGATACGGATCAAATGGTTTTCAATGCATTCCTATGGGAAATGCAGATTTGACCTGCGAACTTTTTGACTTGAGAACCGCCTTCCAATACGGATTAAGTTCTCAAGTCAAGACCCCACTATAATGTGAGCATTTAATTCAGGGTGGACATAATTTAAATTTAAAAAATCATAAAATGGATGCTTTTGATTATTAAAATTTTAACAAATAAATTTGTAAACTTTAAATTCATTTTGAAAAATCATTAATTTTTATCCAATTATTAAAATGTTTACATAAAAGGCCAAGATACTGGTTAGGACACCTAAAACAGGGCACAAGAAGAACTGTTTTCCTCTAGTCACATTAAAGTGACACATGCGGAACTAAGCATGGGAATTTCAGATTTTCTAAAGTCCAAATAACACAATTCTCCATTCTGGGAGTTCTACCTACCTTACAGGCACATTACAAACACCTAAATGTGCTGGAGCTAGGAGAAAGGTCTAACTGGAAGGCTCTGAGGCTTACATAAGCCCAAGCTTCCTGTTCCTGCTCCAGTGCTAGCTGGGAGCTTTTTTTCTGAGCACATGCCAAACAAAGCAAACAAAGTATACTTATGTACTCCCATTAAGTCAATTACATTCTTCCTTAAGGAATATGCCCATATGGATATTATTAAAGTGTTATACAAGTTTCCCATCTGCCCATTTCCAAATACGTTCCAGCCTCACATTAGCAGAATAGTGCCGAAAAAATATGTTAAATAAAAGGAAACCAAACATATAGAAGCATCACAACAGATCCAATGACACGTTCATATTTTCTAGTATTTTCCAACAGGGGGTTAGTTAGGCTTCCTAACAGTTACTCACCTGTGAAAGAAAGATCTCTTTCCAGACAAACAAGGAAATGTTAGTAAATGGCCTTCAGTTCCTAGTGTGGACTAGTAGCTACTGTTGATCTAACTGCAAATCTGGTTTTCAATGTATTTTTCATTGAATCCATCTCTTCTGGATGAAACCAATGCCCTGGATCGATTCCAGTCGGGCTTCAGGCCGTGCCATGGCACGGAAACGGCATTGGTCGCCCTGTTTGATGACCTATTGAGGGACCCTGACAGGGGCAAAATGTATCTGCTGGTCCTCCTTGATATATCAGCCGCCTCTGATACTGTCAACCACGGTATCCTCCTGGGGAGGCTCTCTGAGTTGGGAATTGGTGGCCTGGCTTTTCCCTAGCTCTGTTCCTTCTTGAAGGACCATCCCCATAGAGTGCAATTGGAGAGTTTCTCGGCCCCATGGAACCTCAATTGTGGGGTTCCGCAGGGCTCAATCATCTCTTCAATGCTGTTTAACATCTATATGAAGCCACTGGGAGAGGTCATTAGGGGATGTGGGGCTTTGTGTCATCAGTATGCTAATGATACTCAGCTTTACACCTCCTTTTTTCCAAAAACAGTGGGTGCTGTTTCATTCCTTGAACGCTGCCTGGAGGCTGTTCAGCAATGGATGCAGGAGAATGGACTGAGGCTGAACCCAGGCAAGATGGAGGTCCTTTGGGCGGGTGGCCCAGACATCAGTGGTTTGAGAAACTTTTTCTCTTTTTGGGGGGTGGGTAGGACTCTTACCACTAAGAGTGAGGATTGCAGGACCTCAGTATCTGGCAGAGCGCCTCCTCCCACCCAGTTCTGCCAGAGTCACTCATTCTAGCCAGGCTGTGCGGCTAAGGGGTCTGGAAGGAAAGCATGAGGAACTGGGTCTTCTTGGCAGTGGCCCCTCGCCTCTGGAACAACTTGCCCGTGGAGTTCCGTCTGGTTCCCTCTCTGGGTGTTTTCAGGAGTAAAATTAAGACCTGGCTATTTGGACAGGCTTTCCCTCATGTCGTATCTTAAAATTTGACATTTTTGCCATCTTGGATTTATAGTATACGTTTATTGGTTTCACTGTTTTTAAAATTTTGTAATGCCGCCCAGAGTAGACATTTGGTCTAGATGGGCGGGGAAGAAGTCTAATTAATTAATTGTTTGTTTGTTTGTTTATTACTGGTTGCAGCTCTTTAAAAGAAGTTAGACTTCAACTACAATCTGCCCACAAGAATTCAAAAACAGCACTTGCTTGGTACAAACTTCAGTGCTGCAAAATTTAAGAAATACTCCTGCAGTTAATATGGCACAAAACAGCATTATCAAAATGTGTGCAGCTTTCTTTCTTTCTTTCTTTCTTTCTTTAACTTATATGCCGCCCACTCTATCCAAAGGTCTCTGGGCGGCTTACAACAAATTAAAATTCAATTTTAAAAACAGCAAATACAATATATATATCACAGATAACCAAAGGTGCAACTTTTGTAGGCAATACAGGTTTCACCTGGATTTTTAGTGTTAATTTGTCTTACAGGACACAGTGTTGGCTATATTCATTCTTGCTTTTACCTGATGACTATTCTCAAGCTAGTGATCATTAATAGATGCACAACAGCCAATTTCAGTGCTGCAAACCAAGTGACACACTGCCATTTTGCCTAACAGAGCTGGTAGCACAATTTTATGTATCCTAGATTCTGAAAAAAACACAGGTATCCCTCTGTAACTTGACCTTTACACATAATTTTGTAATAGTAGTAAGATGCAAGCCCCAAGAGCAAAACACCATAAATCTTAAGCTCAATCAGCAGCTGAAAAATCCTGAATACCTGGAAAGGGGGAGGGGGACTAGAAGCAGGTAGGCTGACACCACAGTTACCACTAACAAACTAGCAATTTCCAATACAACTGTTTTCATAAAATCAATGTTTATAATGAATAAAATGTTTAGTCCACAGGCATACTTTTTTAAAAAAATTTAATCTATGAACCAATAACTTGATAATATGCAGGGGCTGCCCACTATCAATTGTTCACAGCAGTAAAGAAAGCTCTGGATCAAAGCTGACAATACAAAGGATCTTTAGTGCCCAATATCTATTCTACATATTAAATTAAAGTATGTAAATTAAATTATTTCCATCACATCTAGGTTCTTTATTTTAAGTTCTTCAGGTAAAAATATAACGTCATCCACATTTCTAAACTAATATCCCATTTCTAATAACTGTGTTCAGAGTAATCTCACCAGACCTGACCAGGTCAGAGGAAACATTGCATATCCACTAAAGGGCACGATGGGGTCCCCTGATCTACAACAAAAAAGGGGGCATCATCTGCCATACTAAGGCAAGATAAAAAATGCTACAAACCCATGGAAGAGTTCAATAGTAGTTTTGGCAAGCAACACTGTCAAGAGAAGATACACTGCATGGCACTTTCATGGAACAACAAACTTTTATGGCTTGTTTTCTGGCAAAATAAAAATTGCACAAAGCTAATGACTGGGCAATGAATAGCTTCCTGTCTGATTTTTTTTTTCAAATTATGCTTAAATTCAGAATAAGAAATTCAACACAAAGATTAGGTTCCTGAGATCAAGAAAGCTGGGGATGAGGTATGACAGGAACACATTTGCCTATGAAGCGATTTGTGTGAAGAATTCATAGCACAGAATCTCACATTGATTTGATCCACAATTTTATGCTTACCTTCCAAAGCTAATATTTGGTTCCTAGTTCAGCACGTCATATAAGCCAAACATTTGCTCATATCTGCTCTACAAATCTAAACACTGCTAATGTACATGGATGAGCAAAGGAATATAATCCAATAAAGGCATGTCTTGTATGTGGCCCCAGGCTCAATTCAAAACAGATTCCCAAATAAACCATTTTTTCAGCATTGCTGTTCTAAGGAGCTATTGCTTTTCCAAACAACTGAACTGAATTAGTGTAACACTTTATCCAGCAATCAAGTTTTAAAGCTGAGGATCAGAGAAAATGAAAAATATACTAATTTTTCTGCCTGTATCACCCACTTGCACAACATTATATTAAGAGTCAGACAATACAGATGCTGAAAAATCTCACATGCAACTGGAACCTGCCCACAAAGGGTATATGTCTGTAAACACAGCATTTTTCAAAATCTACAGTTTCCACAGAATGATATATTACATAAAAGGTCACAATATCTGTAACCTATAGAGCTGTCTAACCAACGAGGTGCCAATATGAAGATGCTAAATTACATAAGGATATCAGATATCTAATTTAGAATAATCCTAAAGCTGAGGCTCCAATACTTTGGCCATCTCGTGAGAAGAAAAGACTCCCTGGAAAAGACCCTGATGTTAGGAAAGTGTGAAGGCAAGAGGAGAAGGGGACGACAGAGGACGAGATGGCTGGACAGTGTCATCGAAGCTACCAACATGAATTTGATCCAACTCTGGGAAGCAGTGGAAGACAGGAGGGCCTGGCGTGCTCTGGTCCATGGGGTCACAAAGAGGTGGACACAACTTAACAACTAAACAACAACAAAATTTAGAATAAAGTACAAAAGCCAAAGTTCCTTACCAAAAGGAAACAGTTTGCATACTATTTAGAACACAGAAATATGCGTATGGGCTGGAGTAGGCATAGTGCTCTCCTTAACTTCACACTGCTCGTTTCCCCAAAATTAACATCATCCTGCTCTGCATACAGAATTTCACCTCTGTGAACCCTTTACTTATTAAAATAGTTTACTTACTGAACAAGTAACTTGGAGCTGCTGTTGTTGTTGCTGTCCCTGCTCCTGTGGTGTGGACTGCTGCTGTTGTTGCTGCGGGTCCCATATATGAACTGTCTGGGCTGTATTCTGGTAGGTCCCTGCCACTGCTTGCACTGCCACTGGAATGTGGATATTGCCATTCATAAACTGTGCTGGAAAAAGGGAGTTGGCGAGAGTTTGCACCACTTCCTCATGAGAGTTTTTCACTACTGATGTGCCTCCCACCATCTTATCCTTGTCATCTTCCAGCTTCACGGTGGCCAGAGTTGTTGGGGAGCCACTCACGTGGACGGCATTGTAGGCCTCCTGGGGGATGGCAATATGGGTGATGTTTTGCTGCTGTAAGTCACCCCGTGGTTGTGCAGAGTAAACAGGGATGGTCCAAGTCTCCCCGGTAGGGCTGGTTATGGTCCCAGTGGCACTATAGAGGTGGGCACTATCCACCGTTAACAAGTCCGGCCTTAAGGATACATAACTCTGCTGCTGACCTTGGGGGATGGCCAGGACTGTGGCAACTGGTTGCCCTGAAATAGCATACGACACAGTAATAGGCATATCCACTTTGCGCTTCTTTACTGGCTGGAGGACGCTGGCAGTGCTGATCCTTCGCTCGCCTTCCCGTGGTGAGCCCTGCTGAGGTGGAGGAGGCGAAAGGGCTCCAACTGTCTGGATCTGGATCTGCTGGCCCCCAGCAATACCTTGTCCTGCCACAAGCTGTGCCTGAATCTGCTGATGTTGTATATGTTCCTCCTGTATTTCCGCACCCTGGATTTGCTGAGCAGTCTGCACATGTTGCACTTGGATCTGAGCCGCCTGCAACTGAGAAGGGCTGGGACTCTGAAGTGCTTGACCCTGTATTGTCTGGGATGCCTGTTGCTGTGCCTGGCCCTGGATCTGGACCTGGACCTGGATTGGCTGCTCAGTTGATTGGTGAACCGTGAGCTGGGGAGAGAGTTGCTGGGTGGAGACCTGTTGAGGGGATTGCTGAACTTGCACTTGCACCTGCAAAAACAAGGATTCAGTAGTTAGCACTCTTAACTCCAAGATCACTACATCAGTGACTCCACAATTAGGCTACAGAGTTTATACTTGGGTTTCCTGGCAGTTGGATAGCAAACTGAGGCTACTCAAACATGTATTGTTTTGTTTTTGCATGCTCAGGAGAAATCCTCATACTTCAGCTACACAGGAAAGGATCAATTTATAGAGTTAAAAAAAACACAAGGTCTCAATAAAGATTAGGCACAACCCCTCATGTTTCAAGAGCCACAGGATGTGGAACATCATGAGTTAAGGGAGAAACTCACAATTTATCAACTGAAGCTCCTGACAGGTTATACTATTCTAGAAAAGGCAGCAAGCAAGATTTGGATGTCCCGGACAAACCAGATAGTGTGGCTGCTGACCTTGAGCCAGACATCCTGGAGAGTGAGGTCAAGTGGGCCTTAGAAAGCATGGCTAACAACAAGATGACACTGTTAAGGTGCTACACTTAATATGCCAGCAAGTTTAGAAAACTCAGCAGTGGCCAGAGAATTTGAAAAGATCAGTCTACCTCCCAATCCCAAAGAAGGGCAGTGCCAAAGAATGCTCTAACTACCGTACAACAGCACTCATTTCACATGCTAGCAAGGATATGCTCAAAATCCTCCAAGGCAGGCTTCAGCAGTATGTGGACCAAGAACTCCCAGAAGTACAAGCTGGATTTCGAAGGGGCAGAGAAACTAGAAACCAAATTGCTAACATGCACTGGATTAGGGAGAAAGCCAGAGAGTTCCAGAAAAAAATCTACTTCTGCTTCATTGACTACGGAGAAGACTTTGACTGTGTGGACCACACAAACTATAGCAAGTTCTTAAAGAAATGGGAGTGCCTTACCACCTTATCTATCTCCTGAGAAACCTATATGTGGGACAGGAAGCAAGAGTTAGAACTGGATATGGAACAACTGATTAGTTCAAAATTGTGAAAGGAGTACGACAAGGCTGTATATTGTCTCCCTGCTTATTTAACTTATATGCAGAATACATCATGTGAAAGGCTGGACTGGAGGAATCCCAAACCAGAATTAAGATTGCCGGAAGAAATATCAACAACCTCCGATATGCAGATGATACCACTCTGATGGCAGAAAGTGAGGAGGAATTAAAGAACCTCTTAATGAGGGTGAAAGAGGAGTGCGCAAAAAATGATCTGAAGCTCAACATCAAAAAAACTAAGATCATGGCCACTGGTCCCATCACCTCCTGGCAAATAGAAGGGAAAGATATGGAGGCAGCGACAGGTTTTACTTTCTTGGGCTCCATGATCACTGTAGATGGTGACAGCAGCTCCAAAATTAAAAGATGCCTGCATCCTGGGAGGAAAGCGATGACAAACCTAGACAGCATCTTAAAAAGCAGAGACATCACCTTGCCGACAAAGATCCACATAGTCAAAGCTATGGTTTTTTCAGTAGCGACTTATGAAAGTGAGAGCTGGACTATAAAGAAGACTGACATGCCCAAAAAGTAATGCTTTTGAACTGTGGTGCTGGAGGAGTCTCTTGAGAGTCCCCTGGATTGCAAGGAGATCAAATCTATCTGTTCTGAAGAAAATCAACCCTAAGTGCTCACTGGAAGGACAGATCCTGAAGCTGAGGTTCCAATACTCTGGCCATCTCATGACAAAAGAAGACTCCCTGGAAAAGACCGTGATGTTGGGAAAGTGTGAAGACAAGAGAAGGGGATGACAGAAGACGAGATGGTTGGACAGTGTCATTGATGCTACCAACATGAATTTGACCCAACTCTGGGAGGCAGTGGAAGACAGGAGGGCCTGGCCTGTTCTGGCCCATGGGGTCACAAAGAGTCAGACACAACTTTTCGACTAAACAACAACAAACAAGCATCTTGGTTGTTGTGGGTTTTTCGGGCTCTTAGGCTGTGTTCTGAAGGTTGTTCTTCCTGACGTTTCACCAGTCTCTGTGGCCGGCACCTTCAGAGGACTGGAGTAGGAACTCTGTCCAGAGAACTCCTGTTCCTCTGAAGATGCCGGCCACAGAGACTGGGGAAACATCAGGAAGGTCAACCTTCAGAACACGGCCAAAGAGCCTGAAAAACCCACAACAACTATTAGATCCCAGCTGTGAAAGCCTTCGTGAATACATACAAGCATCTTGCTTTGCTGAAAGAGAGCACTTGTTGTATCAATTCAATATGAGCATACTATAAAACACTTTGAATATGAAATTATGTGATAACTCAAGTCAATCAAGGAAAAAAACAACACATTTTAAAAACAATAATGAACCACAGACATTAGGATTATTAATCTGAAATCAAAACAGAACCCATTATATATTTCATGTGACAGAGTGAATCTGAATGACATCATAAGCAAGCCTGCTGGTGCAATGATCGAACTGCAGTGCTGCAATCAAGCTTCTGCTTATGACCTGAGTTTTATCTCGATGGATTCAAGGTTGTCTCAGCTTTCCATCTTTCTGAGGTCAGCAAAATGAGTAGCCAGCTTGCTGAGGGGCAAAATGTTCCTTGCATAATCGTGTTATAAACCATCCAGAGAGTGATCTAGCACAATGGGGTGATATATACGTCAAAATAACAATAACAAGTCAGAGATCCATAGGAAACCTAGACTGTAATGAACAAATAGCAAATAGCATCAGTTCCAGTGATGAATTATGAAGGACTGACGGGAGGAAACAGATTGGTGTCCACTCTCCTATCATCCCTGCTTGGGTGCTCAGATCACTACCAAAAGCTAAACCAGCTCCCTAGCTATTTAGGGTTACAGTGTCAATCAGGTTCAGACATAATGGCTGCTGACTGGGTCTGTAAACAAAAACATCTAGAGAGCACCTACACAGAAGAGACTGAGCTAAATCAATTAACCAAGCAACAAAACTGCATTGTCACAGTCAAGCAAAGACTCCTGGTTCCTAGTTCCCTCAATAAATATGTGCTTGAAGCCACTATCTGTTTCTGTTTGCAAATTCCTGATTTGTTTGGTAACCAGGAGCCGGGAATTCCAACACAATACTAAATGTTTGCTGCTTTAGACACTTCTGACAGAAGTAACTGTGCAACATACATCCAAATGATGTTTCTCCTTTTCTCACTTTAAAATGTGTGAATAAAGCCAAAGACTGCAGGTGATTTCTATGAAATTAATTTTAATCTGTATGCTTATTCTGAGCTATCTCCATTCAAACTCTGCATAAACAGAAGCAATATTTGCTCAATACTACTTTGGTTTAACCAGCAAGATTACTACAATCAGCATCAGACACAAACTTCTCACATCAACCAATATAATCATCAATATATGAACATAGTTTTCAGCTGTAGACCAGAAGAAAGATCAGAAGCAAGCTACAAGGGCTAGCTCAAAAGTTTTGCAACTCATAACCAGTTAACAAATTCAGATACCTAAAAATGTTTTGATAGTGAATAAAACTTCAGAATTTTCTATTTCAGGTGATTTATTTTTCAATATAATTAGACATGGGATGTTCATATTCATATCCCTGGAGATACGAATATTGGCACCACAAGAGCTTGGGAAAACCAGATCCCCCCCCCCCAAATTGGCAGGTCCACTTATTGTTCGCCACTCACTGTTAGCATTGCTCTTGTCGCACCAATCCAGGAAACAGCCTGGCTGGTGCTTCCCTGCACAGCCAACTACTCAACAGCTGAGTGGAGAGATTCTACTTGGTTGTGCGGGAAGGCGGGGAAGCGCTGGCTAGGCTGGTTCCTGGATTGGTCTGATGAGAATAATGCTGGTGGCATGAGCTGCACCACAAGTAAACCTGCCGGTTCAGGGGGTAGCGTCCAGTTTTCCCAGGCACCTGTGGTGCCAATATTCGTGTTCATATCCCCAGTGATACAAATACAAATATCCCATGTCTAATTATAATCCTACCAACCACAATACACTTCTTCCAATGGAAAACAAGTATCTTCATTCCATCAACTAGGAACATGAGTTCACTGGCTGAAATCCAGCAGCCGAACTTAATGCTGCATAAGGCTGATGATGTCACAACCACAGGAGCTGTTTGGACATTAAACACTTCTAATTCCCCACCACCTAACTCTCCCATGGGATCCCTTTTATTGTGGGGAACCTCCTGGAGGGTGGAATCTTTAATTTTCAAAAATAACTGCTGCTATAGCTTTACCAGTGGTGGCAATTTTCAGAAATTAAAGACCCCCTAATCCTGTAGTCTCTAATAGCTTCCACAACACAAAGGGGATCTCACAGCAACCTTGGGACTTTAAGGAGGAATTGAAAATGTTTCATTTCCAAAACATCATAATGGCTGATGTCATCAGTCTTATTTGGTGCACCTGCACAAACAGGATTTTAGTTACTCTGTCACCTTTGTAACAGCTGCCTTTAAAGTTTCATTTCATGTTGGGAAGAAGCAGAATGCATAAAGTGCAAAATCAGGGATGAAGGAAACAGTTAGGTTTAGAGCAGGGAAAGCAAAACAAGTGTGAGTTATGCAGCATCATTCTGGATCATTTCATTCCCAAGTGTTTCATCAGTACATTTGTCACAAAAAATAGATTTTGTTTGGCAATACATTTCAACAGTAATTATACTTTCTGTGTTTAAATATGCAATAACAGAACAGTATTTAACATGTGCTCATATACCTTCACTGTAACTAACTCAATTTGTGTTATGGGTACAGATGTAAGTATTCATATACGAATATCCCCACACAGCTGGAGTTAACGAGGGTCCAGCCCCTAGGGCCGGATCGTCCACTCATGTGTCTGGCTGTGACAGCAGCCCCTCTCTTCCTTCCAATCGCTCTGGAGCACTGCTTGGCTAGCTACTTAGTAGCCTTGCAGGGAGACTTGTCCTCCCTCCCTCTGCCAGGAATGGCTAGCTGACCAGGAAGAGAACAGTGCTCGGGAGCAACTGGAAGGATGAGCAGGGCCACCAGCGAACGTGTGAGTGGATGGTCTGGCCCCGTGTTAACTCCAGCTGCGCGGGGGTATTTGTATACAAATATGAATACCCCCATCTATAGTTACAAGATTATGAAAGTGTTGTGTTACATTATGTGCAGGGAAGATAGAAGTACATATGCAATAATATACTGACATGCAAGAGATCTACCATTCAGATGTTACATCAAATAGGTAAAGCTTTTTGAACAACCTGCATGATAAGATGAGAGACCTCCAATTGTTCTGATTATGTTTTAGACAAGGAGTGGGCAACTTGTAGCCATCCAGATGTTACCTGGCTGCAACTTCCATAATCATTTATTACTGGCAGTGCCTGCCACGGCTGATGACGGTAGGAGTTCAACCACATTTGGAACGTTACAAGTTGTCCAACTCTGATCTGAGGTGCAAGAGACAAGGAAGAACTTTACTGTGACTCACACATGAACTGCCACCATTTGATGCAACATTAAATAAGTCTGCATTGATGAATTAATCATCACAGATTGGAAAGGCAGCTGTTATGTCATCTCAACCAACATCTTCTGAGGTAGTTTATAAACTGGACTGCAATTGTTCTGTCAAATTTGAGTAATCAAGAAATGAGAAACATAACTGTGCATGTGCATATCAAAATTAATTTATTGTCATTGTAAGTATATACATAGTATACCCATACAATAGTTTATACACACTAACTAGTCAAAACGTTTTCTGGGAATGTGTAAATGCAAATGAATAAATTTCTTAGCAGTAATTACCTGCCTGCCAAAAATGAAGAGATCTTCCTTTGCTAGTTCAGTGCTGATTGAAAGCAGTGCCTTCATATAGCTCCTAAAGACAAGGCTCTATTTTGTTTGACTGTCCTAGTGTTGCAGCACAGGCTTCCTGTGAAGTCCATGCCTCACAATATTGGCATTCTGTGCCAGAATGCTGGCAATTGCTCATGTGCTACATGCAAGAGCAGCTGAGGAAGGTAGTGAAACTGGTTTCTTCTAAAATTATTGCTAGCTGCCAACACAGGATTACAATCAAATATCACATGACTGGGTTTTTTAACTCATGTGTTAAAGATGAGAAGGGAGAAATGGGCTATAAAGGCAAATGGAAAATTAAAGATTTAGCTGTGAAAATTTCCTTTTAGGAGTGACAACCAGAAAACCTTTATGTGCATACAGTCTAGTCTCTTTGTGATGAAAAGGTAGTTTCTTTTAATTCACTGTATGACACAACTGCATTTAAGCCAAAAATCTCCAAATTATGAACTTCAAACCACAACTTCTTTAAAAGCCCTAACAGCCCTCCTTTTCAGAAAAAAAAAATTCAAAAAAGTTAATGGGCTAAATGCAATGTGATATGAAACAAACATTTAGTATCTCCTTTGCCATGTCTAGCCTGATGATAAAGATTTAATAGCAAGGAATGATAAACGTTACAAATAAGAGGATCCTTTGGAAACTAATCCCAAATGATAGTTGCATAATTTCAATGCCTCTCTGAAGAAAACACTAGTACTCATCTTCATTCAGTTTAATAGGGAATATTTTCATTTTCCAAATGCACATTCCTGGAGGAATCTCCAGCATACAAGACGCAGCAATCTGTGCACAGAAATCTGTCATGACATGTGGATTACCACATACAGACTGTTGATTCTATTTGCTTCATATTTGAGGGTCAAATACAAACACTTTAGAATGCATGCAGTTCACACAATACATCTGGCCAATGTTGATTAGTATTTGTTGCCCTTATGAAGATGATACTCACTACTTTCTATGCCTGATTAGAACTGAAAGTAATGTCGAAACAATCCAAAAGAGATAGAATCAAAATGTCCAGTGTGGTTCCACAGTGTTTCTGCTTAGGTACTGTTGCAGTTACATAAATGTCAAGGGCACCTAGGCTTGCAGACAGGATCTATGTTTCTTATGTAAATAAAATTCTTTGAATAAGTTAACTGAAAGTAGTATCTTAACACCATATGGCTGGGGGAAAGGAGCCATATATTTTTGAATCAAATCCACTTTCACAAAAAACACACAGCTAAACAGCTCTATTGACATCTGAAACTTCAAAACATGTAACCGACACATCTGTAATTCCATTCTGAACTCTAAAGTACATGATTATTTCCCTCTAGGCTGTTGCCATAAAGTATACTTCAAAATTTTAAAGAAATTGACATAAAGCATGTATCTGCTTCCAGACAGCAGAACAGAGGACATTCTAAATTCATACTACTAATGGCTGTAGTGAAGTTTCCAATCACTAGGAACTGGTAGAATCAAGTACCGAAGAATCAGTATCATACACCTTACAGTAGACATCCTTCCATCTTTTAGGAATGGAGTCTCTTTTATTCAGAACTACGAAACTCCAGTACATCTGGAGCCAGAATCTGCCCTGTGAAGGCTGTCAGTAAGGCCTGGAAATCTTGTTTTCACAGCTAGTGACTCCTCTTCCACCACTTAATAAACTGAAGCATTATGACAGTAGACACAAAACTCTGCTGCTAGGTTCATGTTGGTTTAACCCATTAAGAGAAAGACAGTAGTGAACTTATAGATATGACTGCTAAGCAAACATAGCCAACCATACATATATGATTTACCACTTCCACCTGAATAGGAAGGAAATCTGTGTGCTTCCTAGTCACATAATTCCCTTATCCTTTCTTTACCCAATGTGATGCATATTAGCACACTTGGCATGAATCACATAATTGGAAAAGTATGCACCAATGCCTCAGCTTATTAAATCATCAAAAGGAACTATATGAGGAGGACTATCCATAAAATTCTGAGTAAGAAGCCACCACGTAATACCCACTATTGTGGCAATAGTGTGCATTTGCACCTTGTGAACTATAGGAGATCCAGCTGACAAGCCAATTTAGTTCATCATTACTAAACCAGAAAAAGGAGAGATGACTATGGACAGAATCCAATATACAACCTTAATTGTCTTCTCTCTGTTGCCATGTTTTACATGACATACTGAAATGCACTATTTGCTGTTAATTTGTATATCATAGACAACTGAGATTTGGAAACTTTGAAAACAATCTGTGATTTCATTAAAAAAATCTTAATGAACAGGCATGGTCGACAGCAGCAATAAAATGTGACCTAAAACCATGACAGCAGCAATTTTTTGAACACACAGAGGAAAGCTAGGAACTTTCTAGATTCAGGTTGACATGACCTCTTCTAATACTTACCAGTTCTCTGTCAGTAAGAGTGAAATACTGGGTATTATATGGAGCACATAACTCAGCAAGGTCATTTATAATTACATATTCCACAAGTTATAGTAAGCCATTTGATTACAAGCAATTGCATACTCACCAGAAAGATGGCTATTACTGGTCTGCATAAAGCACTAAATGGTTTTAAGATGTATGTTAAATGCACCCTTGATGCCAATCTAAAGAATATGCCTGAACAATCAGGAATATTATGCTTCTAAGGATAAAGACTCTGTGTTTTGAAACAGTGGCATTTAAAACTGTTTTTTTTTAAATCTGCTTTTGCATTTCATACTGTACTGCTTTTTCAAATGCATCTAATAATCATATAAGCCTATTCAGAGTTTGCAGATTACATGCACTGCTTCGCAGTTACATAGTATTCTCCTCTAGGATCCATGACTTTTTAAAGATACACAATTATTTGTATAACAGGGTTCTAAGAATACTGTATCAAGAAAAAAAACTGGAATGTATTCTGCTGTTACAAGAAAACACCACATTCCTAAGTACTAACAGAGATACTCATACACTGGAAACAGAAAAACAAAAACAAAATTAATACACCAGAGATGCAAATCAAGTTTTAAACTTTAGTTAGTGCAACGCAATTGTTTAATACAGTGTATATAACTCAATAGTTATAAGCCAAAATGTTCAGTCATGCTTTTTATCCCGTTACTTTTTCAGCTTAAAAGAAAATAATGTCAGATCAAGTTTTTTTTAGTGCTGTACAAAATCAGACAAGGAGCTAAGATTTCTGCATGTACTGGATGAATATAACAGTAGATTATTTTAAAATTACCTGAACTTGTTGGGGTTGCTGCACCTGTATTTGCTGCTCTTGCTGGGTTTGCTGCTGGACACTTGTTGTAACAGGACAAGCAAGTTCAAGCAAAGATCCTGCCACTTCTGTGCTATCTGTATAAATACAGTTTCCACCTTGCTGATATACCATAGTGGTGGTAGCAGCGGTCTGCTGAAACTCCTGTAAGGCTTCAGGGCCTTTGGAGGCAAGGGAGTCCAGGAACTCCTTCATCCTATGCTGGGGGATTGATCGAGCTTTCACACGAATATATTCTTCAAAGGAAATGGTGTTCTCCAAGGAATTATTCATATTGCAAAGTCTTCAGGATTCCTTATAAAACAAAAAGCAAGCATTTATTAATACTGAACCACTAGAAATCTGCTGGCTTCATATTTCTAATGTCTTTTTTAACTTAGTGGAGTGGTTCTTTGGTTCATCCTACACAGCTACGTTTTATCATAACTTAACTTACTGAAGCAACATAAACAACACACACATGCAACTGTATATCAAGCTTCTCTAAACCGTAAACTGTCATTACTCCAACTATTTTTCTATGAGCTTCAACCTCAAGTATATCAAACAATTAAAAAACTAAAACAGATATAAGCACTGAGGAGTTTCTTCTGGCCCTACAATGCAAGTATTTAAAATATTCTACAAGCCCTGTAAACAGCAATACCCTTCTCAGCTTTAAATAAAATTGTGTCCTAATATGTAATGAAGATTTTTGTCACTAGCAGTATATACAACAGCTAATGCCTCCCCACAACTCACAACAATGACAAAATCTTGTTTAAAAAAGAAGTACATATCTGCCTTCATACAATGATTCCTAAATTCCAATTGGAAATATTTAAGTCTTGACGTAAAACATTATGGTTCAAAGAACCGAACAACCACACCTACTGATAGGAATCACTGGCCTAAAACCAACCAATCATTTCAATCAGAGTAAACCCACTGAAGCCATCACTGTAGGACACATAAGAGATGTCAACTCTTATGTATCCTGCTGGTTCAAAGCACCACCTAGAAATTTCATAGCCTTGGAGGAGATAAGAGTAAGACTTCATTGCGTGCTTAGCTCCTTGCACCTTATGCAAAGCAATTTAACACAGGCAAAGTTAATACAGCTGAGTTACCTAAGACTACAGAATATCCTTTAGTGTGATGTACACCCCACCTTGCAAAATCAGCACTGTACACGATGGGAAACAAGTTTTAGACACCCCAAAGCACCGTCGCAATATACAAAGCAGGCTCCACCAGTTTTGTAAAGAATGGCATTTTTCCTTGAATTTCTGCTTCTGAGGTTCTGGTCTTCCTTTATAATAATAGGATCCATACAGTACATTGTATAGAGTGTTGGGAGTGTAATTTTCCACTACACTCTTTTTCCTGTGTTGTTAACAGTATTTGAATGAACAGACACACATACAGTGTTATAGGATGTTTTATCTGTTTTGTTCACGGTTTTGGATTCTACATGTTGCATTAAAACAGGCACCGCAACAGGGTCTATTACAGATTGGCAGTACTATTCATATAAAAAGCACAGATACTCAAACAGGGATTCACTGAGTTACATCTAGATTTTGTGCCTGCTGGAAGAAGCACAATTCTTGCCCATGATGGCAGATACCCCCCGGTCTCCAAAATCCTACACAGAAAATAAGAGAACTCTGATGAATGAGAGTAGGCTGTGGCTCAGGGAGACCCCTGAAATCAAGTGGCCACACCTTCGCTGAACAGAGCTTCACTCCTGGAAGATAAATTTGTGGAATTTTCAGGATCATTCTCCCCCCCAACAGCTGATCCCCGTCTTTTGCAGTTCCGTCACCTTCTGCACAATATTTCATGATCCAAGAGAGACTGCTATGTGTTGAAGTGAATGGGAATATCTATTTCCACTAATATCATTAGTGGAATTCAATCCACTAAGTGAATTTCAGATGGAAGAATCATTGCTTGTTAAGATGAAGGTACCCTGTTTTCCCAAAAATAAGACCTAACCTGAAAATAAGCCCTAGTATGATTTTTCAGGATGCTCATAGTATAAGCCCTACCCTAAAAATAAGCCCTAGTTAAGTGAAACCCCGCCCTCCACCATTGCGCAGCAACTAGAAGATGACATGACTGTAAAATAAAACATCCCCTGAAAATAAGTCCTTATGTGTTTTTGGAGCAAAAAATAATACAAGACCCTGTCTTATTTTCAGGGAAACATGGTATCATTTTTGCACATCTGTAGATTCAGTGTGCAAACAGTCCACTCATGTGCAGTGTATCATTTAGTTACTCAATTAGCAAAAATAAAATAAAAATTAGTAAGCACTTTGCCATACTTGCTATTTAATTTTTTCAGAGTTGGAAACAGTTGTGCAACTGGGAAATTTTGCAACATTGTTTTCTCCATTCCTTTTTTTTACTCTGTTACAATTTTTAATATAATATTCAAAGAATTATTGGCTTTTTAAAATAATAAATATTAGACCATAAGAAATATATAGCAATGATTCAGACACTAGATGATAGTGAGCTTAATTCAGTGTTCTATCCTACATCTTTCAATGCCTGGCTGCCATTTAATCTGTCAAAATGTTCTGCAATTTTTGCAAGCAATTTCGAAGTAAATATGTGTAGACATTACTTTACTGTTACATTGTTTATTTTGAGCATATAATTTTCTCAGGTTCTGTGAGGTTTTTTTTTACTAAGGTAAGGCTTACAAATAATTTGAAATACTTCAAAGAGAATTTTATAATTTACAATCTGTAACAGAAATTTTCAGTCATGTAACATGCTACTACCAAAGCACATGAATGATTACAAAATGTACAAAACCTTCAAATGAGAAATGACCACCACATATATATGCATAAAGCAAAAGAGAAGTAATTCTGTAGTTGCAGAACTGAAGGTATTCAGCATCCAGGCATTTATGTATTCAAAGAAAATTAAACAAATTAATTTCCCATGTAAAATAATTGTGTGCCATTTCTAATGCTGTTCACAACCAAAACATACGTTAACACTAATTGTTCACACACTGTTAAAACAGGACTCAGATTCCAGCCGTAAATGATGTTTAAGGCCCTCCGATGTACACTTCTTGTTCCCAATAAATTAAGCGAGCATCTCAGTTCCCGTTTGCACGTTATTTGAACCATTAGGATTGCTGCCACTCATAAGCAGACCCTACATTATTCCCAGTAATGTCTCACTTTGTTCATACTATTACTGTATAGGGATAACAAATCATGATAGCTGTGCTCACCTAAACTAAGCAAAAAATGCTCACAGTGGCATAAATCTGGCCTATGTAGGCAGAAACTGCAGAAATTACCATACAGAAGCAAGCCATATAATGGCAGCACCTGCACTACTCCATGTAATGTAATGCACTAATCTAGCGCAGAGTTATTTAGTTGTTAAGAGTCATTCAGTATTATTTACACTGGGATTATTTGGGGCTGAAGGGTTAAGGAGCAGAATCTACATATTCTTGGAGGGCTTTAAAAAAAAGAGCCTTATGGCAGTGGTTAAACTGCTGTACTGTAGCCAGACCTCTGCTTATGACCAGGGTTCAATCCCAAGTTCACTCAGCTTTCCATCCTTCTTAGGTGGGTAAACTGGTTAATCATCGTGCTGGGGGGGAGGCAATATGTAGCCTGCACAATTAAATTGTAAATCAACCAGAGTACTTTAAGCTAACATTTCTTGACACAAAGAACTTTTTTTAGCATAAGAAATAAAGGGAATCATTTGGCAACTAGCTAAATCAGTCAATTCTCAAAGAAAAATGTTTTTTGAATATGTTCTTCCCTGACTGTCACAGGATGAGAAAATAATTCTCAAATGATTAATAGATCTCGCAATGGAAGAAAAGTATGCTCTAATCTGAACTATATTGTTAGACCCACTTATTTCAACAGAATTCATATACAAAGGAGTGGCTAATGATGTACTAGTTAGCACAACAGTTTATAATCTTTTTAAAAACAGTTGCCATATTTCTATAAATGAAAAATAAGTTTCAAATATTTGAAGATCAAAAGTTAGTAGGCCTTGAAATAATTATGATTTCAGGAGTGACTAACTCCTATGGATATCTCGCCATTCAACTGAAAAGTATTAAAAATGACTATTTTGGGTAGATGTTCTGTCCTAAGATCCAGTGTGATTCAAAATCCTCCATACGGAGAGATTACTGGATGAATACACTTTCAGAATTACACATAACTATTACATCTCAAATTATAAATAAGGAAATGCAAGAGTTATGTTAAACTGGAACACTAAAAACAAATAGTATTGTATTTTTAAAAGTAAAATGCAACAATACTGAAAGAAAAGCATAACCCATGATAGAAATAGCCATTTTTTCTTACCATTGACAAGTTATTCAGGCAGGCTTAATATATTTTTGTGAACTTGCCCAGCTTAAGAAAGTAACTTTTCAATTATTCATCATTTCTCTTCAAAACTCAAACTGGGACAAGAAAAGGGAAAAACAAAACATATACACTGAAGTAGATACTGCAGGAAACTAAGTCTGGGTGCCCTATGCTCTTTCACAGCTCCCATAACTGTAAATTCAATACAAGTCAGGGCTATGCTGCCATCTATTTGTACTGATTCTGATGCTATCAACATGAAATATGCAGTTACATATCTTCCACTGTTAAGTGGAAAGCAAGCACAATTAATATTTTTAGAACCAATAAAATTAAACATTCATTGTGACATCATAGCACCATTACCTTTTTCTGCCCCAATGCCAAACAGAAGCAGATATGTGTATAAGTTTGATGTTTAAGCAACAAAACTATGATCTATTTCTTTGTGAATCTTGATCACATTATCAGCCAGAAATGATGAATAAATCATCATCCAAGAATATTGCACCATATCATGGCTATGCATGTCCTCAAATTCTTCAGACACCAATACGAAATTGGAACATTTTTGATACTGCTTTCAAGTTCCCTTCTCCAATTTACTGCCGACTAAGAGACAATATTCACCTTCCCCCTCATGCTCTGTCTGGCCTTGAATAACCTACTGATGGGAAACAACTTTCTTCTCAAGCACAAGATTACTTTGGGGAAAGGAGCAGATCAGAAATGTAATCATCATCTTCATCATAGAGGTGCAAGCTGGAAGGGATGTGAATTAATACTGCATTGTATTTTTAACAAGTATTTTTAATGTAGGGATAATAAGGAAGTATTTGAGAAAGCTTAGGTTGAGATGGAAGTATGCACTCTTCCGATACTGAATAAACCCCAGAATGGCAATTCTTCAGAGGTCTGCCTATGCCTATTGATCCAAGAGCATAACCTACTCTACCTCCATAAAATGGAACAAGGCTGGAAAATCATTTGCTGTTTCATTTTATCAGAAATAATAATAATGACAATGTATCAACAACTCAATTCCGGCTCATGGCTATCCTTGCCACCGTTTCTAAGTATAAAGTACACAGAAATCGTTTACCAATCCCTTCTTCTGCTGGCACTCGAGGACTGTTCAGCTTGTCCAAGGCTACACAGGCTAGCTCTTCTCCCAGGCACAGTGGGAAACTGAACTCCCAACCCCTGGCTCTGCAGACAGGTATTCCAACTTGCTGAGCTATCAGTAAATTACACGAGGGATTACAGAATCTAGCATCTCAGCTCAAAAAATAACAATCAGGAAAAAAACATTAACGTTCCTGCTATGTTTTGCAATACTACTGTAATCAGTTTCCAGAGATAAAGGCATAAATGTATGATGTTAACAGTAATAAGTGCTGTTAGAATCATACAGACAAACCAAAGATTACCGAATCTATTATTAATTGATTTTTCATTATAGTAAGACTTTGATATCATACATTTTTCAATCTTTCATTTTGAAAAATGAATTAAATAGTATCTAAGGAACAACTTTTTGACAAAGAAGTAGCCTTCCTCTTATCTATATGTCCATGAAAATATTAAGTTTGAAAGGTCACGTGAAATGGATTAGCAAGTAGTTAATTCAGAGAACTTAAACATTAATGAAAGCAAACACATTTGCAGTAGGTGGACAATCTAGACTCACCAGGCACCATGCTGTATGCATTTCTGATATTCGTGTCCTGAACTCTTAAGACTCGTGACATTCTGGAGAAGACAGAACAAAGAGACCCTTTCCATCCCCATTTTAATGGTATTTTAAAGAAATACACACAGGGAGGACAATGTTAGACTGCACAATGTTATACATTGTTCCCAGAAAACACAATTCTAAAACTTTTTAAAATTCTACTTATGCTTTCTCTCAATTTTAATAACACTAAATAGGATCCAGCATAGAAAGCCCCTGAAGGACAACCGAAGCAAATGGTATATAAATTAGTACATAACTTGATAGTATGGTGTAGTCATATAGAAGCAAAGCAGGTCTAAGTCCAGTGATTGGCTGATTGCTTGGGAATCCTACACAGGCTGTCCTGAGTTCAATAATAGAAAAAAAAAACTAGCATGCAAGTATATACACCAATGTCACATTGCTAGTTCCAACCAAATGACTCAAGAGGGTTGTTGATACAGTATCTAGGAATTGATTTAATGGGTCTATTCTTTAGTTGAAACTAGCATCAGAACAACACTCATGTATGTTTTTTTTAATGGTAACATTTAAAACTTTACAAAGACAGATTTTGGAGAGCTCGGAGTGAACAAGCAAATGACTATAAATATATATATTTTAGTCTTCAGCAACCATTATTTCTCTTGTAGATAGCTCCTAAAGACATTCCCTAGTTCCATCTGACCAAGCCTCTTGCCCATTCCACTGGTCAAAAACTGTGACAGCTGCAGGCTACGGGCAGATTTTCATACCTAAAAATGTGCTGTGCTTTACTTATACATGAACATACACAAGGGTCTGGCCTAAAATGCCCCATGAATAAACACAAGAATTAAGCGGATGTGTTCCAATCCATGAAAGTGCTCTAACAGATCTCTTCCTCTCTCAGGTACCACAAAACCCAGAGGAACGCTAAAGATACAGTTTGCATGACAGGACCACAGAAGCTACCAAAAGGGTCTCCAGCAGGTTCTGTTCCGCCATCTCTTTATCCCTCACCATATTTAAAACAAACAAACAATACTTTGATCAACTATTACAGGGCTCTGCAGTTCTTAATAGATAGGTAGAGTATCTTTAAATAAAGAAACAAGGAGAGGAGGGAAAGTTATTTGAGCGGCAAGGATCAACTTAATTTCCACGTATATAACCCCCTTATCATCGGAGGCTTCCACTGGTGGGAGAGCCTCTCTCTGCCTCTCACAAGCGATTGATCACATAAAAAGCATTTGTTGCTAGACCAGGCCCGCCGGGCATGTCAAGGGGGCCGGCCTCCCTCCCTCCCTCCGTCTGCCTCTCGTTCATCATTTACTGCCTTCTGGCCAAAGGGTGAGGGGGGGGGGCGGAATAAGCATCTTATTCGCACAAAGCTACCACACGAAGGGCCAGGACGGAAGAAATGGGCCGCCGCGACACGACGCAGCTCACCCCGCCTTCTCCCCCCGCCCGGGGGCTTCTGCAGCACCACAGAC